TTCTTATTTTCTCACTTAAATCTTCCTTTACATTTTACACGCGTTCACAAGGACTGACACGCGACTGTTTAGCAGTAAAAGGTGTCCGAGTAAATTATACTGGGGAGTCAAAAAGTATCACAATGACCCAATATAGGCAAGTGTTACGAGACTAACCAACAGAGCTGAACTAAACTATACGACATGCAATACATTATGTACATTACTAAGAAACTTGGTTGGACACATTCACTATAACAAGAAAGCGGCTGTGGTCTGCACCCACATCGGGTGGAGTTATCTTTTCTTTTCTTCCACAAGTCAATATAAGTCAATATAACAAGAAAAGGGGTCATTTTATAAGAAAATATGTTTACTTCCAGTGACGAGCGGCGTTTTTGCCTTTTTCTGATAATTTTAATTTTTCAAAATATAAAAAATCAGTCGTAAATACGTTTCTGAATGTCCAAAACACGCTCGACACAAACTCTGCTTTCTCCTCTTCACGAAAAGTAAAAAGTCATTGGTGTTGGAGGTCATAAACCTTCCCGAAATCGCGGAACAAAAATGGCACATTTTGCTGACAGATTTTTTGTTTTGACAGTGATAAAAATAGTATCAGTGGCGCCCCTAGCGAGTTTTTGCATTGCTACTTCAGGTTTTACTGTAGCTTTAATTTTTAGCCATGATAATTCTTATCTACGGCTGCAATTGATACACTCACTATTCGAGGCTTTGAATGGAAATAAGTAATTATGTTATTGTTACAAATATTGAAATAGCCGGAACTGCGCTATTGCACATTCGCACTTCTACCAGTTCCCGTGAAATTTGCAGGGGGTGTTATAGGGGACGAGCCACAATCTCACACCAAATTTCAGCCGAATCGATCAATAACTTTTTATTTTACCGACTTTTTATTTTCAGACGAGATACAAGTTTATCAGTTCGACGCCATTTTCTTTGTTGACTATTTAGACTCGAATAACAAAACACTAAGACAGATTCCAACACACTGCGCTTCCTGCCTAACGATGCAGTTCGTAATAATAATAATAGTAATAGTAATTTTCGTATATTATAACTTTTGGGCTAAGCCACCATTTTTTATAAACGATTATTTGGTGTTGACTAGTTGGATTGGCCTTTACGTGTGAATATTGCTGTGACCTTGATGCTGAGGTTAATGTCCAGGGTGAAAGCAGAGACTATACCCTTGATAAACGGAGGTTGGGTCAAAGTATAAGGTCATGGTCATGTTACAGAAAATTGAACTCAAAACTTTTCAAAGGCAGTTTTGAGACATTTGACCTTGACTTACGACTGTCACACCGTAACCATTTTAAAAGGCCCTCATCTTGGCTTAGACCATCGACGTTTACCTTTGTCCTGTCACACACTGCTTGGTCAGAAAACGGTCAAACACAGAGGGCCCTTGTTCGAAAGGAAGACAATGGACATGGTTAATATGAAAGGTTGTGGTGACATCCGGTCATCAACGCTAACCAACCGTGACCAGGACTTTGACCTTGACTCCAAACTTCCCATCTATATTGGGGCCTTTGCGTTTATGCGAGCCATGGCCATATTTCTTGCTGTATTATCAAGGTTAATGTTCGAGGTGAAAGCAGAGACGGCGCCCTTCAGAAAAGATAACTGGGTCAAAGTCATGGGTCTAGGTCATGTTACTACAGAAAACTGAACTCAAACTTTTCAAAGGCAATTTTGGGACATTTGACCTTGACTTACGACCTTCACCCCATAACCATTTTAAAAGACCATCATCTTGGCTTGGACCATCGACTTTTACCTTGGTCCTTTCCTGTCACACACTGCTTGGCCAGCAAACGGTCAAACGCCGAGGGCCCATGTTCGAGAGGAAGGCTATGGGCGTGGTCAATATGAAAGGCTTTGGTGACCTCCAGTAATCAACGCTAACCAATCGTGACCTCGATTTTGACTTTGACTCCAAACTTCCCATCGATCTCGGGACCTTTGCGTTTATGCACCTCATGGCCATATTTCTTGTTGTATTATCAAGGTTAATGTTCCAGGTGAAAGCAGAGACAACGCTCCTCAGAAAAGATAATTGGGTCAAAGTCGTGGGTCATGGTCATATTACGGAAAACTAAACTCGAACTATTCAAAGGCAGTTTGGCTTGGACTGTGATAGGTTTTCTCCGAAGATTTTCTTATGGTCAAATCGGTTTCTATCAGGAGATGGTGCCAAATTTCTATTGTTAGTTTATTTCGATAAAAAGGAGAAATACAAATTGACGATCTTTATTATTCAGTATATTCCCGTCCACAATGCGAAAATTTAATACAAAATAATTGCCCCTTGTGCAATTTGCATGCATGTCTGAACCCAAATACAAGGAGTATTTATTACCACTTTCTTTTCTTTGTATGGAATGGGGTGATAAATATATATTCATGTTCAAGAAATGGGTGTTTCAGGTTTAGTTTCAGATTTAGATCCCATGGTTTGCATGACAAAGGATTTGTGTTTGACTTGTTTGAGTAATAAAACACATAGGCTATATTGTGAAGTTGTTAAAATTTTAATAAATCCCAATCATATAAAGGCCAATATTCAATCTGCAAAATAGTTAATTATTAAAACATAGTTAAAACTTCAAAAAGTGTAACGACTAATCACTAAAAAAAAAAACGCAACAAATCACAAACGGTAGAAATGTCAATTTCAAGCCAATCAACATAGATCCGTTGATCTGTAACTACTGATCACTAAAACAACAGCTAATCACGATAACAGTATGTTTATTAATGACAAATCTCTATTGGTTAGGGTTTTGTCATTTGGTACTTAATACTTTTTCCGGAACTAATCACACTGGCGGAAGTAGATATAGCTTCGTTGTTAATGCAAACAACAGTTTCGGAAATGCGCAAGTGCCCAGGAGTAAACACACCGGGAGTCAATTCAAACTGTCAATCGAGTAAAGGTCGATGATGGCCATTTGAAATGGTTACGGAGTGAAGGTCAAATGTTCAAAAACTGACTTTGAAAAGTTCGAGTTGCCTGCTTTAAACCCCGGACATTAACCTCAAAAATACAGCAAGAAATAGGAGCGTAGCACATATAAGCGCAAAGGTCCCGATCTCGATGGGAAATTTGAAGTCAGGGTCAGCATCAAGGCCAATCCAACTAGTCATCGCCAAATAGTCGTTTATAAAAAATGGTGGCTTAGCGCAAAAATTAAAATATACGAAAATTATTATTATTATTACGAACTGCAGCGTTAGGCAGGAAGCACAATGTGTCGAAATCTGTCTAAGTGTCTTTATTATTCGAGTCTAAATAGGCAACAAAGAAAATGGCGTCGAACGGATAAACTTGTATCTCGTCTGAAGATAAAAAGTCGGTAAAATAAAAAGTTATTGATCAAATCGGCTGATATTGGTGTGTGATCATCCCCTGCAAATTTCAAGTCTCTACGACCACGGGAACTGATAGAGGTGCGAAAGTGCAATAGCACCGAGTGGAACTGGAACACTGAAATCCTAATCTTATCTTACAAACAGTTCTTCTGTATTTTCGGGTTACATGACACCCCGCAATTCTGGTTCGGCGTCCATTTTAAGCTAACAGAAATTTGGGTTTAATCAAATCATATAATTATACGATAAGGTTTCACCTTTATTTCAATGGTAATTGGTTTATTATATGTTAAGCTATCTACAGTACAGTTTGGGGTCAGTGTTATTGGAAATTAAGGGAGTTATAGGCCAGTAACTTTTTTTAGTCAATTGACTACAAAACATGCTCAAAGGAAGGTCTTAAGACGGTCCACTACTGTGGTTGGAGCAAGATGGAAGACATCAGTAGTGGAACCATTTCTAGTTTTACTGGTTTACACTGTAGCATTGATAACGTTGACTAAGCAACAAATAATTGTAATAAATGAAAATATACAACACTAATAGATCAAAGTCGTCAGTTTATATACATAATGTGTATTAGTTAGTAATCAGGCAGTAGTCATTAAGTAAGTGTTTTGTGGATAAGGTGTTAAAACTGTGATTATTGGATGATATACACCACTATTGTCCAGGTTTGTGTATTCAGTTGTGATGAGTGTTATAAATAGTCACACTTTTACACCAGTAGTGACATGTTTTACAGCTAATTAACACACCTGCTAATTTCTAACCACTTTCGGTACATACTAAACATTAGTTTAGAATACTGGCCACTTACACGATTTAATGACAAAAATTGTCATTACTAAAAGGTCTAGCTTCATTAGTTTACCAGTGTTATTATATTTATATTATATTCGATAAGTCTTGTATGCATAGGCCTACCCATCAACACAAAATTATATGGTCAGAGTGGATCCTTTGAAGAATCAAACACCATCGAAAGAGATGTCAACATCAGGATTATCGGTTAATCAGCTTTATAATTATCCTGCTTTGATCGTTAGCATTTCCAATATTTTCCAAAAAGACTAATTGATCCATTGATACTGCGTTCTATTGTACACTTGTCGAGCTATGCATGTCAAAGGGCAGATAGGTCTATACAGTACATGTGATCCACATGCTCTACATGATGACGAACGGTAAATTTTACCTGTGTGTTATTTTTATAAAATAATGATTTGACTTTTGTGTTCAACCTTTTCTTTCAAGGGGTGCAATATAGCCCGGTTGGAGCTGACGTGCCATAAAACCATATTTCATTCATTTTCTTTGAAGGATATTTTCTTTCAACTTATTCCCTGAGTCTGTAACTTTAACTACCAGAGTCCGAAATTTCACCTGCACAAGTCCAAAACGTTGAGGACATAATTTTTTTGAATCCAAAAGGTCGTTAGAAATGTCGTGGGACTGAAATGTCATTTTATCCACTTTGACTGACTGATTAGCCAGCCAGTTCTGTAAATGTAAATGTTTGATCTGTTTTGGTTTAACTCCTTCAGTTTGTAACACAGGTACATGGGCGTTACTGTAATGCAACCATATTAGCTTCTGATTTATGTATTTTGTAGATCGATAAACCAAACACAGGAAATACATTAAAGAGAAAAAAATATGAAATTAATGATGAGAATTCTGCACCAAGATCTAAGAAGAAGGGTGGTATTGTTGGTCAGATACAGGCAATTGGTGCTGAAGTTACTGATGATGATAAAGCAAAGATAGCTAGAATGGTGGAAGAACAGACAGAGGTAATGGAATATTTTATTTTATTAATTTCTTTGGCCTCCTTCAATTTTGTTGACTGAGTAATTTTCCTTGTACCACAGACTGTTACTAAAATTAAACTTTTAGACATTGAGTCGTGTACTGCCAGATCATTTTCATTCAGAAGCCCTTTGTCAGGTAATCAAGACCTGAGCAGATATAGAAAATGTTGTTGTTGTTTCTATAATAACTCTCCTCCTCCTCAGCCATCTCTTCTGCACTGTGTTTCATTTTTTGTTAGCAAAGCAACTGTTTGTTCCTAAATCCCTTCAACAAGCTCAAAAATGGGCAGGAGAAATTACTATTCACTCAATTTATTCTGTGCAAGAAATACATGTACTTGCCTCACTCGTGCAAATCAATATTTGGGTGAGTAGTCATCTAAATACATGTAAACAGTGTTGCCATCTAAACGGCATATCTCTTATGGTTTATTTTCATAATTGGTTAATTATGTCAGCTAGCAGGTGTAACACATTTAAGTTAATCCTAAGTAAAAATTAAAAAGAATCTGTTCATTTAAAATTGAAGTACAAAAAGTGTGTTTTTTGTATGTATTTTGTTTTATTAGGTATAATCAGGTTTAATTACATGTATGTAAATTAATGTCAGTATGGTACTGTATTTTTTGTTATAGGGTGATTTACTGGATGAGACTAGCTTAAAGAAACTTTTGCTGCAATTTGAAAAGAAGTGCTATAAAAATCAAGAAATGAGAATTAAGTTTCCAGATTTACCAGAAAAGTATAAAAAAAATTCTGTCAATTAAAACTTGATATAATCCATCTGCTTGATTTATTTGTACCTGCAGATTCCTCAATAAAATCATGAAATTTTCATTGCAAAGACAGTTTTCATTGACCCTTATGTATTTTTTATTTTCGCTTTATTTTATATGTATTAGTTTATTGTAGAGATTGTTTCAAAATATACTTTAACCCTTTAGCACTTGGTACATGTACATGTAATAATGACTAGGCCTACCTCAGTTCCATGAAGAAAATTAGATGAAAGTGAACGATTAATACCGGTACACCCCTGGACACTCCAAAACAGTCTGAAACTGCCGTTCCTTAGATTGTCTCAACCCACCCGAGATATGTGAATAGTTTCCGACCTTTCACTAGTTTGTGAGGGTGCAACAGCAGTGTACAAGAATCGGTCTAAGGAGCCCTTTTAAGGGCAGTTTGGCGAGGTCTAAGTGCTGAAGGGTTAAGCAAAATAAAAAGTTAATATTAATACCAGATTTATTGGCACAGATATTGTTTGTGCTATAATCAAGATATTGGCTAGTTTATTGGAGTTATACTTTATTTATAGATTTATGGAATCTGAAGTAGAATTAAATGATGTGATACAAGAAATGCATGTTATTGGAACCATTCCTGAATTTTATCAAGTTTTAATAGACCTAAACACAGTTCAATCTTTATTACAACTGCTAGCACATGAAAACACAGGTACCATTTTCAGTTATACTTGCATCAACATTTTTTTGTTAATGCATTATGTAAGAGCTAAATCTATCTATTGCAGGTCTTTATTTTGGCTTCAAATTTATATAAACTGTTATTTAGACATTTATTCACACAACAAGTCTATAATCAGCTGTCTAGACCAACAGATGGCCGAGATTTAAATGGATTAGAACACCCACAAGATTTTAAAATTTAACAATAAAATGGAGAATCAAGACTTAGTCCCGATTGTCAAGTATTGTTGCTACTATAATAAAAAATCTATGCTACATCTTTAAACACTTGTAACTTTGCTCAGACTAGATTAATTTAAATCAAATTCTGAATACATTCATTTTTCACTATCTATTATAGCAAGAATAGCCAGCTCTTTATCTAAATCTTAAATAGCATTTTTAAAAGAATGCTTTAAAACAGTGGTGGGCAAACCTTTTAGGTGAAGTGCCAAAAACAAAGTGAGGGCCAAGCAAGGATTATGAAATATCATTTTTATACGCCCACATAGAAATGTGGACGTATATTGCCGTCGCCCCCGTCCGTCCGTCCGTCGTCCACAATTTCTTGTGAATGCTCTAACGCCAAAAGTTATCATCCAATTGTTTTAAAATTGATATATGTTGTTTAAATTAGTGAGATGAAGAAGCCTATTTAATTTCAATAATTTCTGGGGTTTTTTTACGTCTAGAGTTATGGCCCTTGTTTCACTTTGTTGAACCTTGTGAACGCTCTAATGCCAAAAGTTATCATCCGATCTATGTGAAATTTATATGCAATATTTAAATTAGGGAAACGAAGAAGCCTATTGAATTTCAGCAATTTCCGTTTATTACTTCTAGAGTTATGGTCCTTGTTTCACTTTGTTTAACCTTGTGAACGCTCTAACCCCAAAAGTTATCATCCTATCTTTCTGAAATTTATATGCATTATTTAAATTAGTGAAACGAAGAAGCCTATTTAATTTCAATAATGTCTAGAGTTATGGCCCTTATTTGGCTTTGTTGAACCTTGTGAACGCTGTAATGCCAAAAGTTAACATCCGATCTTTGTGAAATTTATATTAAATATTTAAATTAGGAAAACGAAGAGGCCTATTGAATTTCAGCAATTTCCGTTTATTACTTCTAGAGTTATGGCCCTTGTTTCACTTTGTTTAACCTTGTGAACGCTTTAACCCCAAAAGTTATCATCCTATCTTTCTGAAATTTATATGCAATAATTAAATTAGTGAAACGAAGAAGCCTATTGAATTTCAATAATTTCCGTTTATAATGTCTAGAGTTATGGCCCTTGTTTCGCTTTGTTGTAATGCCAAAAAGTAACATCCGATCTTTGTGAAATTTATATGAAATATTTAAATTAGGAAAACAAAGAGGCCTATTGAATTTCAGCAATTTCCGTTTATTACTTCTAGAGTTATGGCCCTTGTTTCACTTTGTTTAACCTTGTGGGGGATCACGTGGCTAAGTGGGTAAGACGCTAGCTCGCTAGCCTGGAGGTCGGGTGTTCGATCCCTGCATTGGCCGAGAAAGTTCATCCAGATTTTCCGGCGTGGTTCCCCCTTGTCAGTGATGCAGGACGGAGGGCCTGACAAGGATAGCTGTCTAGTCCTTCGGATGAGACGAAAAACCGAGGTCCCTTGTATACATTGGAATGCACGTAAAAGATCCCTTGGCAGTTGGAATTCGATATAAGAGTAGGCCGTAGTGCCGCTGTCCGGGCAAAATTTCCCTCATAGCACACTGTATGGCGTATGCCCGTCTTCATTAGCCCAGGTTAGGAGCAGAACAGTAGGACGTTAAACTCCATTTCATTTCATTTCATTTTAACCTTGTGAATGCTTTAACCCCAAAAGTTATCATCCTGTCTTTCTGAAATTTATATGCATTATTCAAATTAGTGAAACGAAGAAGCCTATTTAATTTCAATCAATTACGTTTATAACGTCTAGAGTTATGGCCCTTGTTTCACTTTGTTGAACCTTGTGAATGCTCTAATGCCAAAAGTTAACATCCGATCTTTGTGAAATTTATATGCAATATTTAAATTAGGGAAACAAAGACGCCTATTGAATTTCACCAATTTCCATTTATTACTTCTAGAGTTATGGCCCTTGTTTCACTTTGTTTAACCTTGTGAACGCTCTAACCCCAAAAGTTATCATCCTATCTTTCTGAAATTTATATGCATTATTTAAATTAGTGAAACGAAGAAGCCTATTTAATTTCAATAATTTCCGTTTATAGCGAAGAAGCTTATTGACTTTCAGCAATTTCTATTTATTACATCTAGAGTTATGGCCCTTTTTTCACTTTATTGAACTTTGTGAATGCTCTAACATCAAAAGTTATATGCTGATCTGTATGAAATTTACGTGCTTCAATTAAATTTGTAAAGAGAAGAATCCTATTGAATTTCAGCAATTTCCGTTTATTACTTCTGGAGTTATTGCCCTTGTTTGACTTTGTTCAACCTTGTTAATGCTCGATTGATGAAAGTTATCATCCGATATGTATGAAATTTATATGCATCATTTAAATTTGTGAAACGAAAAAGCCTGTCAAATTTCAACAATTTCTGTAGATTACTTCCAGAGTTGAGACCCTTGTTTCAATTTGAAGAACCTTGTGAACCCTCAAACAGCAAAAATTATAATCTGATCTGTATGGAACTGTCTTGTAAAGGCCCCCAATTACCTACAAAGGAATAAATATGCGACAACCCTTGTCGACCACTCGGACGATTTAGCCGCTGTGGGCGTATGTTTCGTTGCCTGGCAACCTATCTTATTGAATAAAGTAATACGGAACAAAGTACTTTTTCTGCACTTTTTATTTGGCTCCATAGTTATATTCAAAGAAAACCCAAAGCATGTCAACAAATCAAACAATAACATAAAATTAAAGTAGGCCCAAGTCAAGTGACGTCAATTAGTCAACTACGTCATTGAGTGACGCTGCAAGCTAAAATAGACCTACAAAGATCATTGATCCTACAGAGTAACGCCTGTATAGAGTTTGGGCCCAACAATAAGCAATTTCGAATTTTATACGCCCACATTGAAATGTGGACGTATATTGCCGTCCGCCCGTCGTCCACAATTTCTCAAGTTATCATTCAATTGTTTTAAAATTGATATATGTTGTTTACATTAGTGAGATGAAGAAGCCTATTTAATTTCAATAATTTCTGTTTATTATGTCTAGAGTTATGGCCCTTGTTTCACTTTATTGAATCTTGTGAACGCTCTAACGCCAAAAGTTATCATCCGATCTTTCTGCAATTTATATGCATTATTTAGATTACTGAAACGAAGAAGCCTTTTGAATTTCAGCAATTTCCGTTTATTACATCTAGAGTTATGGCCCTTGTTTCACTTTATTGATCCTTGTGAACGCTCTAACGCCAAAAGTTATCACTCGATCTGTATGAAATTTACATGTGTCATTTAAATTAGTAAAGAGAAGAATTCTATTGAATTTCAGAAATTTCTGTTTATTACTTCTAGAGTTATTGCCTTTGTTTAACTTTGTTCAACCTTGTTATGTATAAAATTTATATGCATTCATTTGAATTAGTAAAACGAAAAAGCCTGTCAAATTTCAACAATTTCTGTAGATTACTTCCAGAGTTGAGACCCTTGTTTCAGTTTGTAGAACCTTGTAAACCCTCAAACGACAAAATTTATAATCTGATCTGTATGGAACTGTCTTGTAAAGGCCCCCAATTACCTACAAAGGAATAAATATGCGACAACCCTTGACGACCGCTCGGACGATTTAGCTGCTGTGGGTATATGTTTTGTTGCCGGGCAACCTATCTTTTATTTCATTTATAGATAAAATTACTCATAAATATTCGGACGTAGTGGAAGGGTCTGGCGGGCCGGACAACTAGGCTTTGTAGGCCTGATTTGTCCTGTGGGCCGTAGTTTGCCCACCACTGCTTTAAAAGTTATAATTACAAAATTACATGGTCACCCTGGTAATAAAATGTAACAAATTTGACAAGAGAGGTAATTCATCCTATTTCCTGTACACATTGGGGATACTTGATTGAATGTTCTGGATTTGAATTCTCCCAATCCCACAAATACTAACAATTAGAAGCAAGGTTATTGTGTCCCAAAAATGGTGACGGACGGACAGAAAGAATGGCAGTTGAACCCGTTAAAATCTTCCCCGGTTTTCTTCAAAAGGCGGGGGACAATAATATTTGTAGTAAGCTCCAGAATGTCAATCAAACATATTTGATACTTTTATTATTTTGTAGATATAGCCATTGCTGTTGTTGATTTATTACAAGAATTAACTGATGTTGATACTTTAAATGAGAATGAGGATGGTGGAACAGCTCTAATAGATGCCTTGGTAAGATTTGACACAAAATTTGTTTGGTTTTGCAAAACTTTCCACTTGGTAGTTCAAGTGTAATTATTACTGAGCTTATTTGTTTAAAATTTCTAATTTATTAACGATACATTCCTTTGAAACAAGTACTGCAAATTACGCTCTATTTGTTGGGTAATGTATCTAAACTACCAAGAAAATAGATTCAATTGACAATGAATTTCAAATAATGTCTTAAAACATTAACATACTGACACTGCCTGAGAAAGTGATCAACTTCTAAAAACATCTAAAAGATTATTGTGAATCAATGTGTATAGGAATTTAAACAACTTGAATTATTTCAGCTTGAAGGTCAGATTGTAGCTGTATTAGTACAAAATATAGAAAGATTAGATGAAACAGTTAAAGAAGAGGCAGATGGAGTACACAATACATTGGGTAATTTGATAAATATATGAAGAGCCCCGAGGAAAAACGATCTAAGTCACTTTTTCAACGAACCCTAGTTAATGGCACAACTGGTAGTAAATTGTATAAGCTTTCTGTGGAACAATCAATTTCAGGTAAAAACGATCGTAGTCACATCGAACCATGGCCCTTGGCCGGACAAATACAAGTCCATCGTATTTTTTTTACCTTAATTTGGCTGAAAAGTGGAAGTCAGTTGTTTTACTGGTAATTATGGTTTGTATTAAACATCATTTTAAAGTTGTAATTAAACTCACTCGTTATTCTGTTCGCGTCAATCATTCTTGTCCAAAAGTCTGTTTTGCCTTTTATGTGAAAAGACAAAAAGACAAAAATGTGACTTGGATCGTTCTTCCCCTGGACTCTTCATATATGCTGTATCCTCTTTTGTAAATGATGCATTGTATCTGTAACACTGCAGTGTCTCTATGACAGACATGTCTTAATTTATTATATTTTATTCCGTATTTCAGCAATTATAGAAAATATAACAGAATTTCGACCAGATGTTTGTCATGAAGCAGCTCAGCAAGGTTTATTACAGTGGTTGTTAAAAAGAATAAAGGTAATTTAAGTAAAATAGAACTTACTTTGCTTGTTAATGTGATCAACAAATTTCATAGCAATTAGTACTTTAATACCTAGTTCACAGTTCACACCAGTTACAAGATTTAAAGGTAAAATTTAAACTGTACAAAGATATTATGTATTGGGTTTTTTTCCAGGCAAAAATGCCATTTGATGACAATAAAGTGTATGCCAGTGAAATATTAGCTATATTATTACAAAACACAGATGGTATGTAAGACCAGGTTTTTCTATACTCTTGTGAAATATATAATACATGTATCAAAAGTTAGCTATTTATTTGAAAACAGATTTACTAATAGTAAATGTATTATAAATAAAATGACATCAGTTATTTAAATATTGGTTTAGTATTGATTATTATTGATGATAATCTACTTTGAGTATATTTATTCGGAGGAATATGAATAAATATTAATTATCTATATTAAACAAATGTCTTTTACCTTCCATGTTTGGTTTAATTTTTTTCTTCAGAAAATCGACTTTTATTAGGTGATATTGATGGAATTGATGTATTGTTGTCTCAACTGTCAGTAAGTATGTTATGACATGTTATATAGTTAACTAATGTGTAACTTTCGAACAGATTGAAAGTATTTCTTTTTTTGCCATTTAAAATGACATGTCACAATGTTTATGTAGTTCAAATTAATAGATTTTATATTATTTGTGCATTATTCTTACAATATTAGATTAGTTTCCTTCTTGAAAGCTTTACTTAGATGTGCAGTGCTACAGTATAAAATCATAAGTGTTTGTAAATTTTGCAATGGATCTGTTTTGCGTGCTATGACTTTGTTTTTATATTAACAGGCTTATAAACGTCATGACCCTACTACTAAAGAAGAAATAGAATATATGGAAAATTTGTTTAATTCTCTTTGTTCGTGTCTTATGGTGCCAAATAATAGAAATAAGTTTTTGAAAGGTGAAGGTCTGCAGTTGATGAATTTAATGTTAAGGTGAGAATATAACTGATTATGATCATATTACAATTGAATGTATTATCTTGATTTTGCTTTCGTTTTATAGACTTTCAGTTTTTGATTATGCTATAGGAATTATTATACGCCCACATTTTCATGTGGACGTATTATGCCGTCGCCCCTGTCCGTCCACAATTGTTTGTGGACTCTCTACAGGTCACAATTCTTATCCGATTTCGACGAAACTTGAAATATAGGTTTATCCCCAAAAGATCTTGGCTGCTTTCGATATTGGCATGTATCGGATCGAAACTTCATGGATTATGGCCCCTGTTTGTACGAAAAATCACGTTTTTAGCTTGTGGACCCTATAGAGGTCACAATTTTTATCCGATTTTGTTGAAACTTGAAATGTAAGTTTATAACCCAAAGATCTCAGTTCCTATCGATATTTGCCCATATCGAACAGTAACTTCCTGAATTATGGCCCCTGATTGTACGAAAAATCACGTTTTTAGCTTGTGGACCCTATAGAAGTCATAATTTTTATCCGATTTAAAAAAACGTTCTATTAAGTCACCGTTACACCCTAAGGATGACTGAGTTCGAATTTCGTGAAAATCGGCCCAAAATTGACAGACAAAATGGCTGCCGTTCGTTCCCAAATAGCGTAAGAATATGGTATATCAAGGTTGTGGACCCTATAGGGGTCACAATTTTTATCCGATTTTGTTGAAACTTGAAATGTAAGTTTATAACCCAAAGATCTCGGTTCCTTTCGATATTCGTGCATATCGGACCATAACTTCCTGAATTATGGCCCCTGATTGTACGAAAAATCACCTTTTTAGCTTGTGGACCCTATAGAAGTCATAATTTTTATCCGATTTAAAAAACCGTTCTATTATATCACCGTTACACCCTAAGGATGACTGAGTTCGAATTTCGTGAAAATCGGCCCAAAATTGACAGACAAAATGGCCGCCATTCGTTCCCAAATAGAGTAAGAATATGGTATATCAAGGTTGTGGACCCTATAGGGGTCACAATTTTTATCCGATTTTGTTGAAACTTGAAATGTAAGTTTATAACACAAAGATCTCAGTTCCTTTCGATATATGCGCATATCGAATTGTAATTTCCTGAATTATGGCCCTTGATTGTAGGAAAAATCACTTTCTTGTTAGCTTGTTCTCTATCCATCTCTCGAAAATGTGGGCGTATCCTACCTGGCAGCCGCTGGTTACCATCAGTATTTGTATTGTGAGGACCTTCAAATATTTATAAGGACCTCAATATTATTTATGTAAACTTTTATTTTTCAGAATTTTTAATATTTTTTTTTTTTTTCTGTATTTTCTCAACAGGCACATCTGTTGGATACTTTATCTGAATATGTAATGGATGTTGAGTTGTAATTATGTTTTTTAAAATGTACTCAGAGTAATATTGAATAATTAATGGAACATTATGTAAGATTTAGATAAAGAAGTGGCCATTTCGCTATATTTCAAAAATAGATAATGCAAAATGAATATATTGAAAATTTCATTCAAATTACTTGATTTTGAGCAAAGTTATCAATGGTTGTAGTTTTTGACAAGATGTGTGCATTTATCGTAACCACCGTACTGGTCATTCGAGTCTTAGTCTCGCTTCTCCATTCTTAAATTAAATCATTAAATGGCCAGTCCGTTTTAATCTACTTAAAATCGAGAGTTGATTATGGTCTTGTCATGTTAATAAATATCTAATTAATAATTTATATAACATTTAGGGCCCAAAGAAAGACCTGCAATAGGCAGATTTAGCTGTTGCATAATGACTGTTTAAGACAAAATGACTACCTACCACCAGTGATGAGTAACAATAACCTCTATAAAACAGAAATGTTTAGTGACTGTACCTCTGCTATTATAGATGGGGACTACAAGTGTTGATACTGTATGTTCAGGTGATCTATAAGTACCATATCACAATATATATTATATATATCCACACATATATTTTTTCAGAGAGAAGAGAATGTCTAGAAATAGTGGTTTGAAGGTATTAAATCATGCTATGACAGGAAGTGAAGGAGCAGATAATTGTCAAAAATTTATTGACATTCTTGGATTAAGAACTATTTTCCCATTATATATGAAAACACCAAAGCCAAATAAAGAAGGTCATACTAAGGATGAAATTGAAGGTATTTTTTATATGCCCACATTGAAATGTGGTCATATAGTGTCATCGCCCCCTGGCGGTCCATCTGGCGATCCGGCATCAACTAAAGTTAATATCCGATTGACTTTAAATTTAAACACAGTGTTTAAGGTCATGAGATAAAGAATCCTATTGATTTTCAACGATTTCCGATAATTCCTGCCAGAGTTATGGCCCTTAATCACTTTGAAAAATCTTGTGGACGCTCTGGAGGCTAAAGTTAATATCCAATTGACTTTAAATTTATACACAGTGTTTAAGGTCATCAGACAAAGAAGCCCATTGATTTTCAACGATTTCTCATGATTACTGTCTGAGTTATAGCCCTTAATCACTTTGAAAAATCTTGTGGACATCAGACGAAGCCTATTGATTTTCTACGATTTCCGATAATTAATGCCCGAGTTATAGCCCTTGATCACTTAATGTCCAATTGACTTTAAATTTATACACAGTGATTAAGGTCATCAGACAAAGAAGCCCATTGATTTTCAACGATTTCTCATGATTACTGTCTGAGTTATAGCCCTTAATCACTTTGAAAAATCTTGTGGACATCAGACGAAGCCTATTGATTTTCTACGATTTTTGATAATTAATGCCCGAGTTATGGCCCTTGATCACTTTAAAAAATCTTGTGGATGCTTTAGAGTCCATAGTTATCATCTGAATGATTTTATATTTATACACCATGTTTACGCCTACAGATAATCGTTTTGATTGACTTTAGATTGATACACAGAGTTTAAGGTCCTGAGATGAATAAGTATATTGATTTTCAATGATTTTTGATAACATGAACAGCTAAATCCATAATATTAAATGTTTTGTATACTAAACGTTAGCATGGGTCAAACAAATTCTAATGATTTTCTGATAATTACTTAATGAGTTGTTACACTTAATCAGATTTTAGTGTATCATAAATGTTTCATTACCGACTTATGCGACAGCTCTTGTTGACTGCCCGGACGATTTAGCTGCTGTTGGTGTATGTTTCGTTGCCTGGCAACCTATTTTTTAACTGTTCTAATGCATTGTTTAATTATGACATAAAGGTGGCTGTCCTTATATTTTTAAAAGCAAGAATTTGGGACTATGCTTGGGTATGGGCATCACCATTCATTATAATATTATATGGTGATTTTTTTATACGCCCACATTTTTAGCTTGTGGTCCCTCTAGAGGTAACAATTTTTATCCGTTTGAAAAAAAAACGTCTGAATATATCACTGTTATACCCTAATGCCGGACAAAATGGCGGTACATATATGGTATATCAAGGTTGTGGAACCCTCTGGAAGTCACAATTTTGATCCGATTTTGATGAAACTTGAAATATATCTTTATAACCCATAGATCTTGTAGATATTCACGCACATTGGATCGTAACTTCCTGAATTATGGCCCTTGATTGTACGAAAAATCGCTTTTTATTTAGTTTGTTCTCTATTCATCTCTTAAAAACAACAAAAGGCGGGTAGCAGTGTTTGTTGTTTTTGTTTTTCAATTGTTTATTTTTCAATTTATTTCAACACCATACCGGTATAGGCTTATTTCAGTTTATTTCAACTTATTTCAACAATTTGAGGTACAAATCATGTGCATGTTCTAATTCTGGTTCAGCAGCCATTTTTTAAGTTTCGTGCAGTAATTGGATTTTATCAAATCGTTTAATTATGTTTCACTTTTACCGGTATTTCAATTTATTTCAACAACATATAGGAAAAGGTACGAATCAGTTTGAGGTACAAATCCCGTGCGTGTTCTAGTTCTGGTTCGGCAGCCATTTTTATAAATTTTGCGTAGCAGTTGGATTTTATCAAATCATTTAATTATGTTTCACCGTTATTTCAATTTCTTACGACTTATTTCAATTTATTTCAACGACCTATAGGAAAAGGTATGAATCAATTTAAGGTATGAAACAGCCAGGTTACGAAACAGCCTGCACCCGTTTTATTGATATTCATAATTCAGTTTTGAATTCTATTTGTAGAACATGTTGTGTCTGTTATTGCTTCACTATTAAAGAATTGTCAAGGAACACAGCGCCAACGTCTTTTAAATAAGTTTACAGAAAATGATCACGAAAAGGTAAGTTCCTGACATTTATTTGTCCTTTAATAGGGCCAAAATATCCTGGGTAAGATATCTAATTCAATGTTAGCATTATTTTTCTTCTATTTTTATTTTCAGGTGGAAAGACTACTAGAATTACATCTAAAATACCTTGATAGGGTGAGGTCATGTGACAATGAAATAGAACAAGAGAAATTAGTGAGTATAATACTTATTATCTTCACCTAAACTAATCAATACTCAAGTAATTTTGAAAATTGGTGTCACATGTTACAGAATTGACACTCAATTGAACATTCTGGGATTGTTTCTTGCAATGTAATGATGTCAATTGAGCAAACATAAAGTTTGGGTGACGAGGCATGCACCAACTTAAGCTGAAACAAGTTTCTTGATTTTGACTATATCTCGAGTCAGTTTGTATTGGGTTTCATTTCTTTACAATGTAAATACAAATTGATTTGTACTGTTTAATTTTCAGCGTTATAAAAAACAAGGTCTACCAATAGATTCTGATTTAGATGATGAGTTCTATTTAAAGAGATTAGATGCTGGTTTATTTACACTACAACTGGTTGATTATATTATGTTAGAAGTCTGTTCATCAGGAGAACCTTCAGTAAGTACTTATAAACATAAATCTGCCTATTGCAGGTCTTTCTTTAGGCCTGAAATTTTATAAAAGTTATTAATTAGACATTAATTAACTTATCCAGACCATAATCAACTCTCGACGTCATCACTAGCCTGCAATGTTTATTGGATTAGGTTCCGATTTGCTGTTCGACTTCCATTCCTAATTTAATCATGAAATGGAGAATCAAGACTATGTTTTTATCGTAACTCCTTCAGTAATGATGATCGAGGCTAGGCCGAAAATTCAATCGCTAAAATCTCGGATCAATTTGACTGAAATTTACATTATCTAGTTTTTAACTATTATTATAGTGAGAACTGCCAGCTCTTTATCTAATCTCCCATAGTGTATCTTTGATATAAGTTTGATCAAAAACTAAGGAAAATAAACTAGAAGACTTCTCTTTAATATAAAAATACCATGAATTATTTTATGTATATAATTTGCACCTTTATTATCCTATAATTGTTATCAAAACTGAAAATTTTGCAAATTTTTTTCCCCAGATAAAACAAAGAGTGATGCAGATTTTAAATATGAGAGGAGGATCTGTTAAAGCTATTAGATATATAATGAGAGGTGAGTTTAAAAGCATAAAAATTAATTATTTTTTCTCAATACAAATTTCACCAATGTAATTGATTGTTGAAATCCTTCTGTTATAGAGGCATTATCTCTTTTTAAAAAGAAAAGTGAATTTGCACATGGTTAATTTAATCTGGCTCTTTATTACAATTCCAAACACTGACCTACTTTTACCCCAATAAAAAACCCAAATGACTTGTAAATTCAAAATCCAGGCATCTCAAATTTTTTGTATTACACTTTTAATTTGAACATTCCAAATTTAAGTGTATAGTCAATATACATAATGAAAGCTGCCTAAAAAATAAAAGAAATATTCAGAGTTTGAAGCAGTTATATCAAGTTGAGTGGGGTTGGGTTTTTTTTTCAGAGTATGCTGGTAATATTGGTGATGCAAAGGATGATAATACCCAAGAAGCTGAACAGGATAGAATATTAAAATTAGTGGATCAATTTTGAGTTGAGATGAATCACAACAGTACTAAAATTCAAAGAAGAAGAATGTATGTTTGCTGGACAGTTTGTAACCTGGTCCTTTTCCAGAAAAAAAAAAAACATTTTTTATTTGAATGCCCAAGATAAGAAAAGGTTCCTCAGTCCTCCTTCTCTAAACTTCAGTGTCAGCATACATAAATTTCTGACAGTCACTGGTTTTTACTTCTTGGAAGAATGGATTGTATCAGTAACAGGCCTGTAACTAGGGGAGAGGGGCCCTGTGAAAAATTGTCGACAATAAAAAAAACCCTAGATATACAGTGTCGGTCAATTTTACAGCACCCCTGAGAACACTTCCTGCCCCCCCCCCCCCACGTTGGTCTGAGCTAGTTACGCCCCAGATCAGTAATCTTAGACAATTTTTAATATGCCACCGACAGAAGTGTGGTCTTTCAGAATCGTGCTGGCTGGATATTTTATTCGTTACAATTTTATCACCTCCATCAGTCATCATAAATAAAGTGGATTGAACACTTATATTATTGTTTTTATTCATATGATTATATCCTGCTCACAAGGTCCAATGTTAGCTGTCAAGCAGTTAGAGGTCATGTAGCTTAACCGAAAAGAAAAGTATGATGCTGACCAAATTTGATCCTTTATGCCTTCAAGAGATCTAATCTCTATCGTGTTTACAAGCCTTCTGGACACGTAATATATCTCTGGAACAGAAAGTCCTAGAATGCTGAAAATCCTCTCTGTCAAAACTTTAAAAAGTGTAGTCTCTAAAAGGACGGGGGGGTTTATTAACTCTGGAAGTCAAGTATGCGGAGTATCAGATAAACATTTTTAAGTTTTGTAATTTGTAATCCAAAATGTTTTGCTTCAGCTACACAATTTTCTGATATTTGGAGTCGCTAAAAAAAAAACAAAACCTGAATTCTGAGGACTGCATTTAACTAAGTATGTTTAACCTTGAGGAAGGTTTGTCCGAATCTTTATCACATAATGCTTTGTAAAAAAAAACTCACTTATTTTTTCCTTCTGAATAAAGTGCTCTTGTAATCTGACATGCTTATAGATTTTTCACAGGTCTCATTCTCACTTTCTAATTCCCACCATCAAGGGTTCAGTTACATGCCGCCATTGTGTACACAAGACCTCGGTTTTGCATCCCATCCAAATGACACTGTTCCTTCCAAGGCGCTCCATCCTGCTTTGAAAAGACGAACTTTCTCAGCCAACACTGTGAGCTAACCAGAGACCTACTGGTTAGCGGGCCAGCATCTTACTCACTGAGCCACCATGCTACCCCTCATGAATATATACTATTCAAAAAAAGTAGGGGATATTTGATTTTGGGGGCATAATACTAAAATATGCAAATGACTACGAAAAAAGTCACTATAGAACCTAACAGAAGAAACATTTCCAGTTACATGTGACGCCCAAACGCACCAATAGCTACCGCATGGAATGCAGGTGATGCTTGGGATCATCATGGGGGTCCAACCCAAGATTTGCACGACTCTGACTTTGAATGTTACAGTCATTGTGGCATTGGAAACATCAGTTTAATTGTTTTAGTGACCAGAAAACAAATTTTGATATGCGTCGGACAGACGTAGGAGGGTGTGGCGTCGTCGAAACAAGGGCTTCCAAGACGTTAACGTCATCAGACATGATCGATTTGCGGGTGGTTCTGTTATGGTGTGGGGAGGCATCACTGTTGCTGGAAGAACGGCTTTACATGTTGTTGCAGGGCGTGTTACAGGCCAGTACTACCGGGACAACATCTTGGCAGTCCATGTTGTGCCGTTCGCACAACGTCATGGCCGCCGTTTCATCTTCCAGGATGACAACGCAAGATGTCACAGGGCCAGGATCGTTACAGGTTACCTCCAACAACAGAACATCACCACATTACCTTGGCCAGCACTGAGTCCCGACCTCTCCCCCATCAAGCATGTCTGGGTTACGTCAACAACGTCCTGCCAATGTCCAAGAACTTGCTGCTGCGTTGCAACAGGAATGGGACAATCTGGACCAAAATGACCTTAGACGTCTCATTAGGAGTATGCCACGTCGGATCAATGCTTGTTTGCCAAACAGAGGAGGATTTACCCGTTACTGACTTGGTTGTGATGCTGTGGTAACTTTGCTGTTTGACCCCGGGTATCATTTTACCCTTATAATGGTCAGTCTGTGCCTTACTTAGTCTAACGATCATTTGGAATAAATCGATGAATGTGAACTTCATTTCATTTTGTCATTTGTTTCTTCGTCAGTTTCATTAGGTGACTTTAATAACACTTAAAAATCAAATATCCCCTACTTTTTTTGAATAGTATATATATAAATTTTGCCATTATTGCAAAGATTCTACATATTGATTAGGGCAATACAATAACTATCGAAAATTGTTCAAACTGACAGACATATTCATATATTTAATCTGAACAATGCATCTAAATTTCAAGCATATCACCAAGGTGATAACTCTACCAGAAGTAATTGTTGCAACTCCATCTGGCATGAGCATACATATCTCACTATTCTGCACATTAGATAGAAATTTCTACAAGATCCTGTGATGGCTGTTTATGGTTTCTTAAGGGCTATGGTCACACAGAAGACATAGCTTTAATCCTGAAATATGGACTATCAAAGATCCAAGTCTTTCATAGTGAACAGTTTGGATTCTGTCTGACACACCAAAGGTAATGGGGAGGTCAAGAAACTATTGAGGAATATATAGAGTGTTGCTCAACTTACAGCCAGTGATATCTAACATAAACTGCTTGGAATATTATGCATTTTGAATTAGAAAATTAATATATTACTGTTGGAACATTGCTAAAATTTTATTTACAAATCACAATCTACAGACTGCATTCTTTTTTTGAACCGAAAGAGAAACAGTATTTATTACATTGTTCTTACTCCTTTAAGTCACGTAAATTGGCATTCTTTCCACGAAAAAGTATTTTTTACAGCAATATATCCAGATTTAAATTAAAGATATAACAAACACACAGCTTGAGTCCCTATTATTATTGATAGTCCTAATACTTGTATTAATCAACCGACAAGAACCGTGTCTTCATCAGGAAAGACGTATTCTGGTATCTCTAAATTAAGTGGAGCTGGACCTTTTCGTATTCTACCAGAAGCATCATAATGTGAACCATGACATGGGCAGTAATATCCACCATAATCACCAGCATTAGCAATAGGTACACAACCTTAAAATAAATATGTTTAAATATGATTAATTAACACCAAATATGATATGTCACAAGCGGTCCATAAGGGCTATAACATTTTTCTTCTTGGGAGCAATGAAATGGTAAGTCCTACAGTTCCACTCCCATTGGGCTAATGACGACAATTCTGGGAGCATTTACAAGAAGCTAAAACTAAACAATGGCAACAACCTATGAAGTAATTATCAAAAATATCTGTAATTAAAATATTGTGAGACCTCACTAAAATCCCACAGATCTATGTGTCCAGAATAGCCTTGAAATTGGCATTGTTTACTATGTAAGCCCAGAATAAGCACGATGTGGTTTATATCTGTGTTTATGATACAATACTTCTCTGAACCATGGCAAATGGTAGCTAACAGGTAGCTTCAGGTTTACTGGACCCAGGGCTGGTAAGAGAAAGCAATGACTGTTTTGCTTTGTCTTATATTTTTTCATTACACGTGGCCTGGTCACTGAGTCTTGACACACACTAATTTTATTTTATTAATTCGCTTGTGCGTAGGAGTATTTAGCTGTGGAAACCAGAAGACCTGGAGTAAACCCACAAGGTTGGACAGGTGACCCTGCTCCTTGTCACGTACAAGCGGAGAATCAAAACCAGGCCACTTGACTCAAATGACAGACATTGTGATTTTACATGCATGCGTTAAACAATTAGACCCCCCCATTATTAGAATAGCAATAGGCACAGTAAATTGACCAATCAAATTGCTAAGCCTATGCTGAAAATTCTCATCATCGAACTTAATCAAGGTTGTGATATAATGAATCTACTGGTATACTCTGAGTTTCATCACTTTCACCCAATTCGAACCAAAGTTATTGTGCTCCAAAGTCTCAACGAATCAAATTATTTATCTCTGCTTAGCCTTAGTGTAAAATGCACATGATCGAACACTGTCATGACATTCACCTACACCAAGTTTGAACATTCTACTCAATTGCTTATCGCTCTGCTTACCCTGAGCAGAAATTGCTCATTATCGAACTTAGTCAAGGTATTGATATAATGAAACTATCATGACATTCACCTAATAATCACCTACACCAAGTTTAGAATTAGGAGATGGACAGAACCATTTTAAGAGTTCCCTACTTTCTTCAAAAGGTTGTGGACAACTATTCATATTTTGGGTACATAATACATATCATATATGTTACCTAAATGTGTACAGACGCCCAAAAGAATTAACCACTCTTCTTTCTGGACACGATCATTGTCATGTTGAACATCTCTTAACTGACTTAAATCTACAGCTTGTTCTGCTGCAATTTCTTCAGCTGTACGATGACGAACAAACAACGGTTTTCCACGCCATTTAAAGGTGGCATTCTTTCCTTCAGGAATATCTGTTAATTTTATTTCTATTTTGGCCAAAGCTAACACATCAGCTGAAGCACTCATTGAAGAGACAAACATTGTAACTACATTTTTAGCAGCATATGCAGTGGCTACACTACCAGCTGTAATAGAAAACATAATTAATTGATTTACAATGCATGTTGTTTTGATGATGTTAAATTAATAATTCAGCCAAAAATTCTGTATAATTCAAAACATCAGGAATTTGGTTATCATAATTTCTGATCATAGATTTTTGTCATTTATCTTTATGCAAATGTCTAGTCGAAATATAGCCAATTAAATCTACTAAAAATTACATTTTATAGGCCATTATGGTACATAATACATTGGTTGTCAGGTCATTACTGATATTGTTCAAAGGAGCTAAAATGCTATTCTTTGGCAACTAGATATGGACACAAATGGGTCACAACAGATATTATAATGTAATATGAATATAAACTGATTTACATTCAATCGTTACTCGTTTTATTTTAATTTCTAATCAGTTATGTTATGCGAAATACCCGAAGCGTCTGATTTGAATGGCAGTATTTGGCGTCCGGTTATTCCAGTCTACACCAGTAGTATTCTCCTACATAGGATATGTTCATCGAGTTGCTTCGTAGAACTGGCGCTCGAAAACATTCTGGCACACGATTCGAGTGCCAATTTTAAAAGTTTCGTTCTGTCTTAAATATTTGATATCAGAAGCCCAACTTTTCACGGTAAGATAACATCATATCAATTTTGATTTGAATTGACCAATAAGTTGTGTTTGCAGTGTCAAGACTGTGGATGATATTGAGTTAAAGAAGCTACAAATGTAAGTCTCTAACTCAATATCATCCAAAGTCTTCGACATTAAAAACACAAATTATTTGTCAATTTAAATCAACATTGATGTTGTGATCTTACCGGGAAAAGATGGGCTTCTGATATCAAATATTTAAGACAAAATAAACATGTTATCACTGGTACACGAATCGTGTACCATAATGCGTTTCAGTCCCATTTGTAACAAGGGATTCGAAGAACGAGGCTAGATATATTCCACAAGTCATGTCAAACATTGACACCATATTCTTATCTGGAGAGCATGCTCAATAAATACTGTGTAGACTGGAATAACCAGACGCTAGAGATTGCCATTTGATTGAGACTTCTGGCATATTTCGCCAAACATAACTGCTTTGAAATTAGAGTAAAAACAGAAACGATTGAATGTAAATCAGTTTATATACATTCATATTACATTATTATATGTGTTGCGACCCATTTGTATCAATTTCTAGGTCCAAAATATTAGCGATTTAGCTCCCTTAAAGACTATCCCTTTAAAGAACATTCTAAAAGCGATCCGTAGTGAATATTCACTTGGTTGCTACAATCACTGAAACTGATGATTTTGGAGAAATATAATTAGCTCAAAATATTAACTTTCTTCTTTCTGCAAATTAAATTTTAAAACATGGGTATTTAAAATGGTACGCAAAGGCATAAAATGTGTAAAGATGGGTTGCCAGGCAACAAAACATACGCCCACAGCAGCTAAATCATCTGGGCAGTCAACAAGAGTTGTTGCATATTTTTGCTTTTGTCGGTAATGAAACATTTATAATAATACACTAAAATCTGATTTTAGAGTAACAACTCATTAAAGGCTCAATACCACTCTTGTCGTAACTGAATAATACATGTATGTCCTAATCTTTATTCTGGTCAACAAATTGTACTATTTTAGAATATTTCAATTAATTGATGATACAAATTTCATCTTAACACACCTTATTTAAAAATTTTGAAAAATTCAACATCATGGTTTGAAACGTCTAACGTAAACCTTTTCAAATGAAACTTCGATTTAAAATTTAATATTTTCGAACCCTCTGGACAAGTAAAATAGGATGTAATGGATAATTTACACAACAGGTAGGACACTTAAACATCTAGTACTTAGATAGAGATATTATTTTTTTTTCTGGAGCTTTCAAGCCAGCAAGAGTGTAATTGTCCCTTTAAGTAATTATCAGAAAATCATTAGAATTTGTTTGGCCAATGCTAATGTTTAGTATACAAAACATTTTATATCAATCCAAAGTCAATCGAAACGATTATATATAGGTGTAAACACGGTGTATAAATATAAAATCAATCAGATAATAACTATGGTCATAAAGCATCCACAAGATTTTTCAAAGTGATCCAGGGTCATAACTCTGGCAGTAATAATCGGAAATCGTTGAAAATCAATAGGCTTCTTGGTCTGATGACCTTAAACACTGTGTATAAATTTAAAGTCAATTGGATATTAACTTTAGCCACAAGATTTTTCAAAGTGATCAAGGGCCACAACTCTGGCAGCAATTATTGGAAATCATTGAAAATCAATAGGCTTCTTCATTTGATGACCTTAAACACTGTGTATAAATTTATAGTCAATTGGATATTAACTTTAGCCTCTAGAACGTCCACAAGATTTTTCAAAGTGATCAAGGGACATAACTCTGGCAGTAATTATCGGAAATTGCTGAAAATCTATAGGCTTCTTCATCTCATGACCTTAAACACTGTGTATAAATTTAAAGTCAATCGGATATTAACTTTAGCCTCTAGAGCACCCACAAGGTTTTTCAAAGTGATCAAGGGTCATAACTCGGACAGTAATTATCGGAAATCATTGAAAATCAATAGGATTCTTCATCTCATGACCTTAAACATTGTGTATTTCAAGTCAATCAGATATTAACATTAACCTCAAGAGCGTCCACAAGATTTTTTAAAGTGATAAAGGGCCATAACTCTGGCAGTAATAATCGGAAATCTTTGAAAATCAATAGACTTCTTCGTCTCATGACCTTAAACACTGTGTATAAATTTAAGGTCTATCGGATATTAACTCATGACCTTAAACACGCCAGACGGACGGATGGGGACGACGACAATACACAACCACATTTCAATGTGGGCATTTTAAAAGCACCATTTTGCACGCGCTATCATTTGAACTTTTAAAGGTCAGTCATCTTGCACAAAGTTAGAAGGCTTTCACCTTATCTCTGTCAAACAAATTGGAACATTCTAATTGCTAGTTTCCTTTTCTTACAAATTATTGCAGATGTGTTTCAACAATGAATAATTAGATGTACATGTTACCGGTCATTCAAGTATTTTTTTTATTCATTCATGGCTGACTGTAATTCTTTTTATTTGAACAATTTACATGTAACTGTTCATCAATAACTTGATCTAATCAAAAGTTATCCGAAGTCTAGCCTTTTGATGATATTTGATAAACAGCAGGAATTAATGCAATGCAAATGCAATACAAAAAATATTTTACGAATAACAAACCTCCAATAACCATGTAAGTAAAAGCCCTTCTGGATGATGCAGATTCACTTGTTGATTTATTAGAATCTTTCACGGCATCACGTCTATAATCTGAAAAATCTGGAACTCTGAGGTCAGTGTGTGCAAGTCGTATCTGTGCTGTAGCTGAAAGAAACAAGCCAACCGTGAAGCTGATGTCTGCCACCTTAATGTCAAATAGATAGGGGGTGTGACAGTTTGAATTGACTCACAGTGGGTGTTTGCTCCTGGGCACTTGCACATGTCCAAAACTGTTGTTAGCGTTAACAACGAAGCTACAACTACTTCAGGTGGTGTGAGATGGTTCCTGATCACTGATCAGTTCAGGAAAAAGTAGGCCTATTACGTATTTGGTTGAGTTTTGTCATTAATAAATATACTTGTTATCATGGTTAGCTGTTGTTTTAGTGATCAGTAGTTACACGATCAACGGATCTAAGTTGATTGGCTTGAAATTGATAGTTCTATCGTCCATGATCTGTTGTCGTTAAACTTTTTGATGTTTAATAATTAACTATTTTGTAGATTGAATATTGGCCTTTATATGATTAGGATTTCTCTGTATCGTTGTTATTATAATTTTGTACTTCTTATTAAAATTTTTACAACTTCACAATATAGCCAGCGGCTGAAATATAGCCCACTTCAAAATCTATGATTTTGAATTACTATTTTATTTAAATGTAGCAATTGTGTTGTAATAGTTTAATATCAATCTCAATATCTGCAAAGATTCAGACTCAAAAAATATCGAAATGTAAGCGAATCTACCGTTTAAATATAGAAGACGCTCGCGGGAAAATATCGCTCTGATGTCACGCGTCCAGAGATTTTCCATCAACACAACTTGCTACGGCTCACTAAAAGTCACTATATTTGTGAATCCGTGCCTTAGTCAATTTGTATTTCTACTTTTTATCGAAATAAACAAACTATAGAAACTCGAAACCCTATCTTGAAATAGTAATGTAAAATTTAATATTGGTAGATGATAGTGTAGAAACCTATTTGTTTGACCATAAGAAAATCTTAGGGGAAATCCTATCATGGATGCACACTGTGTCCATACAGTTTGAGCTGACTCCTACAACAGCACATGCACTAAAAGGTAATCACACACCACCAGGAACCATCTCACACTGTAGTCACAGGGGACACTCATCGCATTTTGAGCCGAGCCCGAGGGGAATTTTTGACAATAACACTACAACTTTCAATTAAAACTTACAGTTTGGCATAAAGTCAACGGTATATTGTCATTGTGTCTATATCGATATAAATTATTGTCATAGAGTTGAAAAAATTGTGGATTTGGGTAAATCATGCTACACACCTACCCTTCCGACAATCCAAGTCCTTAGTTACTATACTTGTAACGTTAAACTGTGTGTTTAATGTTACAATTGATACAGTCTAAGAATCCTTACGCAAGTTCAAATAGGTTCTTGTCAACACATATCATTACAGTTTGTATTGGAATAGAGAGAGAGAGAGAAATGGGGTTTAACGTCCACTCGACACAAACTAGGTCATTTCAGGACTAACATATGGTTTAATTTTATTTCAATAATTCTCTTGCGCGTAGGGGTCTTTAGCAGTGGGGGGAAACCGGAGGACCCGGAGAAAAGCCACGAGGTTGGACAGGCGACCCTACTCCTTGCCACGTACAACCGGGGATTCGAAACCACGCCAGTCGACTCAATGACAGACTTTATGATACAACGCGCAAATAACCATTCAGCCATCCAACCCCCCCTGTATTGGAATATGTAATTCTATGACAAATAGTGAAGACTGGACCACTAAAATAGTTACCGAACAGTTTTTCTTTGTGGTTATGCGTTCTACATTTGCATAGCGATGTTTCTTGTAATGACGTATTACACACAAGCCGCCATGACACCAGCCAGTTGAAATTTCGCGTAGCAGTTGGGTTTCATCAAATCATATAATTATGCGGTAAGGCTTCACCTTTATTTCAATAGGAATTGATTTATTATATGTTAAGCTAGGTGCAGTACTGTTTTGGGCCAGTTTAGGTGTAAATTAAGGGAGCTATAGGCCAGTAACCTTTTAGTAGTGATTTCACTAAAAAACTTGCGCAAAGGAACTCTGTAGGACGGTCCACTACTGTGGCTGGAGTAAGGCTGAAGACATCAGTAGTGGAACCATTTCTATCCAAGTCCTGTGAGTGATCAAGCAATCATTACTCAGACATTACAAGAAATTAGATAGCGTCGGATCAGAGACCGTTCATAAAGGTGCCAGTGCCGCACAAGTGCATTTTTTAATATAAAATTTCTGTCAAGAATACTTACATGCGATTCCTGAAGTAACACGCATTGCCCCTTTCCCTGTCAGAAGTGACATTGAATAACTTGTTAGGGCGGCTTTCTTGGCAGGAGGTACAAGATATTTTCCAACATTTGGAGCAACAGACTTTACTACTGGTTTCGTAACATTGGGAACTATTAATGAGACGGCCGACATCATCGAGGTTTTCGGAACATTAATCATTTTTGGTTATGTTTGCCCCTGTCTAACATTTACGAAAAGCCGTGAAGAAGGTCATTCACGTAGGAACAACGTGCGGTCTAAAGTCGCAAATATTTACGAATTCTTGTTTGCTATTTTTTGTAGTTTATTGGTATAATTTCTAAACTATAAGAACTATGTCTAATTCTTAAACACAAAAATGTCCTAATAATACACTAGCCATTATTTTTATTGTCGTAAATTGGGAAAGACAAAACGTCCGCCCCAAAACCACAGCACAAATATTATGTATGTTGTGTCCGGTAGGTTTGGGTGGTCGATGTGTATACTCTAATGCGTGTGAAGTGGCGTATGGTTTCGACTCCAAAGTACATGGCATAGATTCAGCCCTTTAATATAGGGTTGTTTCAGTCCATATATTATGAAAAAAAAGCATAGCAAAAAACACTAGATTTAATTTAAATTTATATATATAGTTAAATCTCGACTTTTGTGCAAATTTTTCACTTTTAATATTTAAACTAAAAATACAACAAAAACTCAATATTTAACATAATATACATAAATATTTCTTGATTTGTCTCCATTTTCATATTTAACATTTAGCATTGAATATTAAGACCAAAACAAGAGATTTGATGATATATAAATATTTAGCTAAATATTTAGTTAAATGTATAAACATTTAGCTAAATATATATTTAGTTAAACATTTATATATTTAATTAAACATTTATATATTAAGCTAAATAATATATATTTAGCTAAATAATATGTATTTAGCTAAATAATATATATTATTACCTAAATAATATATATTTAGCTAAATAATTATATATTTAACTAAATAATTATATATTTAGCTAAATAATTACATATATAGGACGTCCTCATTGCCTTGATCTGTGCGAACGGCACGGAGTACCGCGGCCGTGATTCGGGTTTTCAAGTTCGTGGTCAGCTTCCATTTCTAATTGCTAGTAGGCCTATTGTGCCGAGGCTCACGTGTCGCTTACGATAATAGAAATATTGGCGGGACCACAAATATATATTTAGTTACATATTTATACATTTAGCTAAACATATATATTTAGCATGATATTTATATATTTAGTTAACTGTTTATATATTTAACAAAATATATATATTTAGTTAAATGTTTATATATTTAGTAAAATGTTTATATATTAAACTAAATGTTTATATATTAAACTAAATGTTTATATTTTTAGCTAAATGTTTATATTTAGCTTTTTTTATATATATATATATATATATATATATATATATATATATATATATATATTTAGCTAAATGTTTATATATTTAGCTAAATGTTTATATATTTAGCTAAATATTTAACTTCAGATTTTTCAGTGATTTAGTATTTAGCATTTATACCTACGAATAACAGCACATTTAGCTATATATTTAACTAAGCGATGTGAAGTCAAGACATAACATTTAAAGTTTTTCATAGACTAAAAACTCGACTTTTAGCTACAATATTTTTGATATTTACATATATGCCATTTTTGTTCTAATATTTATCTAAATATATATATTCGGAGTTATATCTAATGTTTTTTTGGTATAAAAAAAATTAAATAATTATTTTACAAACGGCGCCCCATAATATTATATATCAAATATAATAATACCACATTTTTCTTGATTTAAAGTACCGGTAGCTAAGTCTCTAACTCAATACCATCCAAAGTCTTCCATATCGAAAACACGAATTATTTGTCAATTTATAGCAACATTGATGTGATCTTACCGGGAAAAGATGGGCTTCCGATATCCAATATTCAAGACAAAATAAACATTTTAAAATTGGTACACGAATGGTGTAACATAATGCGTTTCAGCGCCATTTGTAACAAAGGACTCCAAGAACGAGGCTATACATAATATTCCACAAGTCATGTCAAACGGTGACCTCAATGACGTAGATGAGAGCATGCTCTATAAATACTATCGGCGTAGACTCGAATAACCAATCAGACGCTAGAGATTTCCATTTGATTGAGACTTCTGGCGTATTTCGCCGACAATAACTGTTTTGAAATTAGAGTAAAGACGGAAACGACTGAATGTAAATCAGATTATATACATTCATATTACATTATTATATATGGAAGTTCATCCAGATGTTCTCGGTCAATGCAGGGATCGAACACCCGACCTCCAGGCTGGCTTAACATCCACTCGTTGCAAACTAAATCATTTCAATAATTTGTTGGCACGTAGTGGTCTTTAGCAGTGGATAGAAGCTGGGGTATCCGGAGAAAACCCACAAGGTTGTACAAGCGACCCTACTCCCTTGTCATGTTTAAGCGGGGAATCGAAACCACACTACCTGAATCAATGTCAGACCATGTGATTTCACGCGCACGTGTTAAACCACTAGACAACCCAATCCCCATGTATGTTGTTGTATATTGTATATATCGGTACGGGAAATTTGTTTTATAATAGGCCTATAATAAATTAAATTGTTGTAGCCTAAGGTGGGTTTTTTTTGTTTTGTTTTTTTTATCAGACATTTTTGGCAGATAAAATATCCCAGTTGGCGGAAAAAAATATGAACATTTTTTTTTATATAAAAATTAAAAATTATTGTCCATTTTGACGGAAAACAATGAAATACAGTGTGCGCCCTGATTGCGCGTATTCAAATGTGACATGGAAAACTGAGACCACAACAACTTCCGAGGCGAAAAGTCGCTAATAGCGTGGTGTGTTAATTTCCTAATTTCTACTTTTCGAGTTGCATTTTGCTTGGTATGCGTGTTGGCGCCTTCTTACTGACATCAATAAATACAAAAATATGACTAAGTCGAAATTCATAATTTCTACTTTTCGACTTTCGCGTAGGCGAAAAGTAGAAATTATGAATGGTAGTTATAGGCTTCCATACGAAACCCCCATACCCCGCAACGATCGATTGGTTGTTTTGGATTCAGGTAAGCCACCTAAGGTAGGCTATATTGGACGACATTTAAGTTGTAGTCGGATTCGGTTTGTTACCTAATTCCCATCCGTCGGCTTTTCGGGTAGAAATCATGGAATAAGCTTTATTTTGTAGGTTTTGGTGTTTGATTACAAAAAAACAATGTTGACATTTTTTCTGAGTAGGTCTTCATAGTATGGGAGGCCATTATTTGAGGGTAGCCATTTGCGATAATATTCCAACTTATTTTATTATTTTCACCTTATTTATAATGTTATCGACATATCAACTGTCATTTGGCAATGTATTTATTTTGGCAGGGTTCATGACTATACTTCAGATTGTTTTCCATCATTTCAGTATGATATTTCCAAGATGGCGACCATTTTTGGCGGAAAATCGGACGATGTGCTGATTTCGATTAAGTAATAGTGCTTCGTGTCAAAATATATGTTTTCATGGCCACAGATTCCATTCCTGACATTTACAACCTTGTAAAATGATCACATGTTCATATACTTAGCATATTTCCAAGATGGCGGTCAGTTTTGGCGGGAAAATAGGACCATGTGCTGATACTGATTAAGTAATCGTCGTTGGTGTCAATATATATGTTTTCAAGGGCACAGAAGCCATTTCGGTTAGTAACAACTGTGTAAAATGATTATTTTGCACATTTACAATATGACGGCCATTTTTTTGGCGGGAAGATTGAACGATGTGCGGATATTGAATAAGTAGTCGTCTATGGTACCAGGATATATTTTTGGAGGAGCAGATTCCATTTTTGCCGTTTACAACTGTGTAAAATTACCACATGTTCACATATTTAGCATATTTCCAATATGGCTTTCATGTCGGGCGGGGATTCCGTTTACGTAGTCGCGTTTTTGTGTCAATATTTGTTTTTCGGGGCCGCAGATTTGATTTCTGCCATTTACAACTGCGTGAAATGGTGGTATGTTCACACATTCAGCATATTTTTGTTTGTGGCAGAACGTTTTCTAAACACATTATACTGTAAAGGTTTCTGAATCCAATTCTGCTATGTATAAGCTTGTAGCATGTTCCTGGAAGCCTGTGCCGAGTTTACCCATTAGGTATATTATCCAACAATGTTGTAGTTGAACTCAAGCGCAATATCATTCCACATGTTCGTTCTACAATCATCTTGGAAGTCAGTTGATAACATAATGTATGCTATGAGGGCTTCTTAGCAAGTATTTCATTTACAGCCACGTCCCCACCACTATCGTCCACGTTGCTGCCAGGCTGCAACGAAGCTCCTGGCCTTATGCTTGCTATGCTGTTACGACCTTTATGTATATATAGGGAAGATACTGAGCCTCGTACATCAGCTCCAGTCTAGCACCCAAAGAGGAAACCTCAAGAAAACTATGAAATGTTCTTGATTGCTTGACTGTTGGTTGTTTTCTGCTTTGAAAGTGAATGAGGACGGGTGAGCATGGCACAGTCTCTATAATCTATAAGCGTGACGAGAGAACGCCTTACGCCTGGTAGGCATGTCACTGGAGTGTGGTGAGAAAGTATCCCGGTCTGACTGATAACCGCGAGATCATGGTGGGAACACTTTTCGCGCAGCCAGATCTTGGCCATGAGCGTTGAAAGGTCTTGTAGTAAGCGCTTGGTGTGGTCGTTGCAGACGCATGATGGGCACGTGGCGTAAGCACCACGCTGCCGCTATGCTCTCTTTGCCTTCATGCCAGGAATAGGCTTTACTTTCCCAGGAAAATCGATGATAAATAAATTATTATTATTATTATTGTTCGATTTATATAGCGCTTCATTACACGTGAAGTGTTTCTAAGCGCATATCACAAACATATACTTCAAACACACAGAAACAATCAAAATCAGGAGAACATAATTAAACACAGCTGCCTGTTAGGCGCTATTATTCAAAGGTTTATATCCAACAAATCAACCGGCTAATCTCTATATTGAACTCAGTCGAGGTATTACCTGATGAACACCTACACCAAGTAGAGTTCAAAAATAAAAAACGAAGTTTAAAAGAATCAGCTTCATTAACAAAAATTAAACAATCAAAAACTAAACAGATAAATCAAATTCAAACGAAACAAATAAAACAAAGAAAATGAAAAGAGCAGTTCATTACCATTCTACATTAACAAAATAAAGGAAAACAACTTGTGAAATTTTTTTCAAAAAATAAGAGCAACGTAACACTAATGTTAATACTTTTTTAACGAACATATCATAAATATAATTAATTTTACCTATAATATCTATTTCAGAAATCAGACTTTATTTTGCAAAAAAAATAATCCAAAGAGTTGTGTACGACCATTATCAATCACTTCATCAAAACAATGGCAAATACCTTAGAAGAAGCACCCCAAAGACATGGTCAATCTTACCACCATTCTTATCCAAATTTTTGATTTGCGGAAGGTGGGTACCAGTGCCATACAAAAGACCCTATTTCAAATTCCCGCGCTTTCAGATTCTTATCATATCCTTCTTTTTGACGTGAATGATATATACTTTAACTTTAATTTTCAACAATGAAACAAATATATTTACACTTTGACTTCCATGAAGTTTAAACCAATGGGCTAAAGCAGTCAAGATATGAGAGGTACGTGTGGATATAATAAAAGTGATTGGTGATATACTTACAAGAATACAGGATATAATAATCGTTCTATAAGAGCAGCTATACAAGAGAATAAACGACAATCTAGTTTAATATCATCTGGTATCTGTAATAACTGACTAAAATATTCCAATCTCTGGGCATTTACAGCATTTATTAATACATCATTTAGCGCTTTCTCTAAATCCTTATAAAGTATAAAATAAATGCTAATAATGTGTTTAGAAAAATTTCCACCATCTTGGAAATATCCTAAATTGGTGAACATACGAACATTTTTCGTAGTTGTATATGACAGAAATCGAATCTGCCACCAAAGACAACTACTTAATCGAAATCAACCCATCGTCCGATTTTCCCGCCACAAGTGGCAGCAATATTGGAAATATACTAAATATGTAAACATGTGATCATTTTACAAGGTTGTAAATGTCAGAAATTGATTCTGCGTCCCCGTAAACATATAAATTGACACCAAACACGACCACTTAATCAAAATCTGCACATCGTCTCATTTTCCACACCAAAAATGCCCACCATCTTGGTAATAGGCTAAGTATATGAACATGTGATCATTTTACAAGGTTGTTAATGTCAGGAATGTAATTTGTGACCCCGAAAACATATATATTGACACCAAACACTACTACTTAATCAAAATCAGCACATCGACCGATTATCCCGCTAAAAATGGGCGCCATCTTGGAAATATCATCATGAAATGATGGAAAACAATCTGAGATATAGTCATGAATGCTACCAATATTAATACATTGCCAAATCACAGTTGATATGTCGATAACATTATAAATAAGGTGAAAATAAAAAATAATTTGGAATATTATCACAAAATGGCTACCCTCAAATAATGGCCTCCCATACTGTGAAGACCTACTCAAAAAAAATGTCAACATTGTTTTTTTGTAATCAAACATCAAAACCTACAAAATAAAGCTTATTCCACGATTTCTACCCGAAAAGCCGACGGATTTACATTAACGATCGGACTATTGCTGGAATAGCAGGAAAACGTTTGCGGCAGTTAAATTTTCAAAATTGGCTCCGGACAGTCCCGTCTCCTTGGACTATAAACGATTGATTGGTTGATTGGAATTCGAGTCAGCCACCTATAAGCAGGGGCGGATTGGGGCCGGAAACCAGCCCGGGCTCCCGTGTCGGAGCGGCCCCTTTTACTGACCGCGGACCTCGGACGGGGGGGCCGGGGGCTTTCCGCCGGGATAATTTTTAAAAATGAACCCCAAATATGCGATTTGGTGGCATATCTGATTATAATCTCTGTCAAATAGTATATCTCATAAATCGATTAATTTAGGCCAAAACCCCGACCTGCAAGTAATTTACAACCATCAATCTGTGAAATCATCATATCGTCGTATTATGCAGTATTCCGAATTCCGGCCCACACCCAGCACACCCGGCCCAGAAAGTCTATAGCCCATTCCAGACTCCAGTGATGGCGTGGCGGTCCGTTAAAGCCACCGGCCACATACAACATGATCATCATCGCTCCATGGCCGGTACCCCCCCCCCCCCCCCCCATAATATAATGTTCAGCAGAAAAGGGTTTTTTTTTTTAGACGAATTGGACAAAATTATTTTTTTCAGTTTTTTGTTCGACCGGCCCTTCGGCCCGATGGCCCAATCCGCCGCTGCACCTAGGTTAGACTATATAATATCAGACCACTTGCTGTATTCAGGGACTGGAATATTATATAGCAAGAAAACGCGTTTGCGGCCGTCAAATTTTCCTAACTTTCTTTCAGGGGGGGGGGGGGGGGCGTCTCGAATCTAGACGTCTGTAATTTTTCTGGAGCATTTCAGGTTCTGCCCGCCTAACATTCATACAACCTGTACGCCTATATTATATAGACACAACGTTCGCCAGGTTTTTGAAAAAAACGGGCTATATTATAAGATTGCGACTTTCATGCTTCACGCCAAATTTGTAGCAAAAGAAATCAGCTGGAAACTGTATCTCTGATTGAGATAATAATATCTCAAACTCGGGGTGCTATTTGAGATCTGCGCACCAGTTTTGTTCGGTCAATAAATCAACTCTAGAATACAGCGTTAATTAATTTTGTGACCGATTTGACGTAAATATGTGGCCGATTTGACACTTCCATAAAGTGGTCGCAAAATTGTATCATGGGAAATTGTCTTTCATAAAATTCAAAAATGGCGACCTCTGGAAGCGACAGCGATGTATTTGAGGTATTTAAAGGATAATGTACACATAGCTCTGCTTTAAAAAAAAAAACATAACGTGGACGTTTCGAATGATGCCTATTTATACTTTTTCACACAGCCATTGTCACTTTATCTCTAAAACCCATGTCTGTCGGTGTGTAAAGACGAGGTCTTTGGTCCTTGAACAAAAAAACAACATCCGGTGTTTTGATTCGCCGATAAGGCGATAAGCCACCCAACCACGACCTTCTGAATCTTATTATATTCCGCTTCATAATGAATGCTTTGCAAATCAAAGAAGTTAAAAATGAATTACTGGGCAAACATTTCTGAAAGATCTTACCACTAATCTTGGTTGATCTTGGTCAGTGTTGTAATTGTAATGTTAGTACTTACTGTAAGCCCCACAATGGCTACATACTATGCCATGGCTACATAGCTACTGCTACTAGTTACTATACTTACTGGTAACGTTAAACACCATTACAATTGATACAGTCTAAGACTCCTTACGCAAGTTCAAATAGGTTCAAACGCACAATTGTCAACACATATCATTACAGTTTGCATTGGAATAAGTAATTCTATGACAAATTGAAATAGCCTAGTAGTGAAGACTGAACCACTATAAATATTTACCGAACAATTTTTCTTTGTGGTTATTTGTTCTACATTTGCATAGCGATGTTTCTTGTAATGTCGTATTACGCAAGCCGCCATGACAGCGGACAGTTGAAATTTCGCGTAGCAGTTTGGTTTCATCAAATCATATAATTATGCGGTAAGGCTTCACCTGTATTTCAATGGAATTGATTTATTATTTGTTTAGCTATGTGCAGTACTATTTTGATTCAGTTTATGTGTAAATTAAGGGAGCTATAGGCCAGTAACCTTTTTGTAGTCATTTGACTAAAAAACTTGCGCAAAGGAATTCTGTAGGACGAGCCACTACTGTGGCTGGAGTAAGGCGGAAGACATCAGTAGTGGAACCATTTCTACATAGCTACGAGAACGTATTAATAAAAACGTTGAGATACTGATCTGCTTGTTTTTAGCTACGATTGAATGCCTTTGGTTTCACCTGGCAAACTTAATTTCTTTATTAATGCATGTACCACCTTAAAAATAAGTTAAATGCTGTGTATTAGTAGCCTACTTATTACACATACGCAGCCCAATCTACTGAAACAACATTCGTTTATCAGCAAATATTGACAATAAAGTAAATCAAGCGTTGTTTTTATCAAAATTGATACAGATTCATAATTACCGCGTATTACCCCTGCGCAACTCTAATCTGGTTAGTACTTTGATTGGCTATTGCACACGAGGCACGCAAAGACGTAAATTTAAAATGTCGGAGAGAGCTATCTATTATCACTTTGATTTAAAAAGGGGATTTGTGCCCGTGTCAGGTAGGATTTTCTGCTTAATTGTAGTTGGGTGTGGCAGAAATGTTATAAAAATATTTTAAAATAACAATAATCAATCGTCGTTTTGATGAAAAATATTGTCAATTTTGCTTACTGGGGCCGATGTGATTCGCATTTGGCTTTGCTACGTGGAACCCTAAGCAGACAATTCTCATTTTCGAACTCCAGCAAGGCATTCATCTAATATACACGCTAAGTGTAAACATTCTGGCTCAATTAGAATGAGAGTAATTGTGTTCCAAAGTCTTGACCAATCAAATTGCTTATCGCTCTGCTTACCCTGAGCAGAAAATGCTCATTATCAAACTTAGTCAAAGTATTGATGTAATAAAACTATACACCAAATTTCATTACTCTCACTTAATTACAACTAAAGTTATCGTGTCCCAAAGCATCAACCAATCAAATTGCTCATCTGTGCTTACCCTACGAAGAAAATGCTCATCTTCGAACACCATCAAGGCATTGACCTTATAAACACCTACACCAAGTTTGAGCATTTTACCTCAATTCGAAGGAGAGTTATTGAGTTCCAAAGTCTCGGCCAATCAAATTGCTTATCGCTCTGCTTTAACCCTGAGCTGAAAATGCTCATTAGTCAAGGTATTGATGTAATGAATGAAACTACCGAGGGAAGCAAGGAAAAAGAAATTTTTGGAAGGGGGCGTGGTCTTTTATGAAAATTCAACCCTTCTTGGTGTATTTTCAGAGCATCTGCTGCCTTTTGTATTTGCTTCAGTGTGTGAGTGTAAATCAAATTTCCATTTATTTATATATTTAAATTTTTACCAAATTCACTTAATTTTCATCAATGATACAGAGAATCTGCCAGGGATCTAAAAACTTTTTGACACCAACCGACCGAGCATAAAATTGCCCCACCCCACTATGTATCTCAGTTTTTTGGGGGTTTTTCTTTGTGCTGGGCGGCAAAAAATAGTGCCGCCCGACGTGGGCACACCCCTGAGTGTTTAAGGTCATGAGACGAAGAAGCCTATTGATTTTCAGTGATTTCCGATAATTACTACCAGAGTTAAGGCCTGTGATCACTTTGAAAAATCTTGTGGAAGCTCTAGAGGCTAAAGTTAATATTCGATTGACTTTAAATTTATACACAGTGTTTAGGTCATGAGACAAAGAAGCCTAATGATTTTCATCGATATCCGATAATTACTGCCATAGTTATGTTCCTTGATCACTTTGAAATATGTTGTGGACGCTCTATAGGCTAAAGTTATTATCTGATTGACTTTAGATTTATACACAGTATTTAAGGTCATGAGACGAAGAAGCCTATTGATTTTCAACGATTTCCGATAATTACTGCCAGAATTATGGCCCTTGATGATCACTTTGAAAAATCTTGTGGGTGCTCTAGAGGCTAAAGTTAATATCTGATTTACTTTAAATTTATACACAGTGTTTAAAAGGTCATAAGACGAAGGATCCTAGTCATTTTCAAAGAATTCAAATAATTACTGTCAGAGTTATGGCCCTTGATCACTTTGAAAAATCTTATGGATGCTATAGAGAACAAGTTATCATCTGATTGGCTTTAGATTGATAAACAGGGTTTAGGGTCTTGAGACGAACAAGTATATTGATTTTCAATGAATTTTGATAACTTGAACAGCTAAATCCATGATATTAAAATTAAAAGTTTCGTATACTAAATGTTAGCATGGGGCAGAGCCGCAGAACTAAAAGCCAAACAATTTCTAATGATTTTTGGATAATTACTTAATGAGTTGTTACTCTTACTATTAATCAGATACTCTTAATCAGTGTATTGTAAATGTTTCATTACCGACAATAGAAAAAATATGCGACAACTCTTGTTGACTGCTCGGATGACTTAGCTGCTGTGGGCGTATGTTTCATTGCCTGGCAACCTATTTTTTATACGTCCAGTCACCACATTGCAATTTGGTCATATATTGCTGTCAAGCGTCCACAATTGCTTGTGGATGCTCTAGGGGCCAAAGTTAATATAACCGATTGACTTCAAATTTATAAACAACACAGTTTACATGGAAATACAATCACTGGTTTATAAGTACAGCTAGACGTTTCGACAAGTATTCTCTTATCGTTATCATTTCATTGATATCATCTTTTTAAAGTATTTAATATCTACCATTATAAACTATTTTCTTGTTGAAATCCTATCAAAATACTGCTTAAAATTTGCTTGTTATCTAGAAGAATGTGATGAAATGTATACATGCCTTTCCAACCCCTCAACCTAATACTAATAACAGATGTGATGGCAACAGTAACATAATGTATGAGTGTTCAACTGTGAAAAGAAGACAAAACGTCAATTTCCATTAAAATTGTGCAGGAATTACTGTCAAAATCTTCAGATGGCTTGTGGTGGTAAATGATCAGGGTGTTTTCTCATGTCATACTACCACATGATAATAGGGCCCAGTTAAATTTCATAACTTTTGAAAATAAGGCCTTTCTGATGCAGCATAGCCCTTAACTTGTAAAAACTGGCGTATGCTTTACAATTTGTCACAAATAACCACAAATTTGAGATTGTGGAAGACAGGCATGGTATTATGCCTTTAAAATGTCTTTAGTTTAGTCGTTTACAACTTTTTGAAAAAGAATAATAAGGTCCTTATGCCATATGAAACACTTTCATCAATTGATACATTTTGAATTATATTGTTGTTATTGAGTCAACTGGGGATTGAGTCAATCCCCAGTTGTACGTGACAAGGAGTAGGGTCGCCTGTCCAACCTCGTGGGTTTTCTCCGGGTCCTCCAGTTTCCTCCCACTGCTAAAGACCCCTACGCGCAAGCGAATTATTTAAATAAAATTAAACCATATGTTAGTCCTGAAATGACCTAGTTTATGTCTAGTGGACGTTAAACCCCATTTCTCTCTCTCTCTTGTATATTGTATTGTCTTATTTTGTTGAAGGTGAAAGAGATTATTAAACAGAGAGAAAAAAAAGGTATAATTGAGTATCTGGTGAGATGGGATGGATTTGGAGAGGAAGAAGATTCTTGGGAACCTTCAAAAAGTCTTGTAAACTGTGTTGATCAAATCAAAACATTTGTACAAGCTCAGGTTTGGATACTTTTTTTTTTTACATGCCCACATAGACTGTTGTATATTGTCATAGCACCCAACTGTGTGTCATCCATAATTTTACTTGTGAACAACCTACAGACTACAGTTATCCGATCTGCTTAAAATTAGAGAAACATAGAATCGTATTGATTTTGAACAATTTCAGTTAATTACTTCCTTGTTCACTTCGTAAGATCTTGTGAATGCTGTAAGTAACAACCAAGGTTATTATCAGATTTGTTTGAAATTTACTTACCTTGTTCAAGTTATAGAAATGAAGATGCATTATTAAATCCGATTGATTTGAAATTATCCTCTGTTTTCCCCCCTTCTGCTAAAGACCCCTATGCGCAAGCGAATTATTGAAATAAAGTTTAACCATGTGTTAGTCCTGAAGTGACCTAGTTTGTGTTGAGTGGATGTTAAACCCCCTCTCTGTGTACTGTGAGTTATGGCCCTCATTTTACTTTGTAGAACCTTGTGAATGCTATTTCGAAGAAACTCATTGGATTTCAACAATTTCTGTTAATTACTTTTAGAGTTGTCCCATATTTCACTTTGTTAAATGTGAATTCTTTAACAACAAAATCTGTATTAAATTTATATGCATTATTTAGATTCTAGTAAAACAAAGAAGCCTGTTGAATTTCAGAATTTTCTGTTAATTACTTGTTTCTCTTTGAACCCCTTCTGAATGCTGTGTATAAATTTACATGTATATTTAGGTTAGTAAAACATAGGAGCAATTAACTGCTACAGTGAATGCTATAACGACAAAAGTATTAGTCGATCTGTATGAAATTGATATCAGTGTATTGTAAATGCTCCCATTAGCCGCACAAGATTAAATATGTGACAGTCCTTTAGCTGCTTTGGGCATATGGTTTTTTGCCTGGTCGCCTATCTTTAGTTTCTTGTAACTAAGTGCTCCCATTACTTAAAAAAGAATAAATATGCAACAATCTTTATGGACTGCTTGGACAACATAGCTGCTACAAGGCTAAACTTCTGTTTCATTGCCTAGCAACCTATCTTTATTTCAGGATGCCAATAAAATGGAACAGAAATCTGCTGCAAAGTCCAGATCAAAAGGCAGAGCACGCTCTAGATCAAGGGGCAGATCTAGATCAAGGGCTAGATCCAAGTCGAACACAAGAAAGAGTAAAACAAAAAAATCTAGCTCAAGGAGCAGCAAAACAACAGCTGCAGTCGTTGTTTCCTCAGATGAAGAAGATCTAATCGTGACCCCAAAAAGACAAACTAGAAGAACAGAAGTTGTAACGAGAACAAAAACCAACAACTTTCCAGGACGAATGGAAACATCAGCCAGTTTAATGAAGGTATTTTTTTTTGACCAAACCACACTAATTGAAGTCTCAATTTTTATCCGATTTAAAGAAATGTTCAAATTATATCACCGTTACATCATAAAGATGGTTGAATTCAAATTTCGTGAAAATCGAAATGAAAATGCCAGACAGACAAAATGGCCGCTCCCTGTATGCAAATAGTTTTGAAGTATGTAATAACAAGGTTGTGGAACTCTCTAGAGGTTTCAATTTTTATCAGATTTTTGTAAAAATTTATGTTTATGTCCCAATGATCTTGGTTCCTTTTGATATTCACCCATATCAAACCACAACTTCCTGGATTATGGCACCTGATTGTACAAAGTATCACATTTTTAGCTTGTGGATCCAGTAGAGGTCACAATTTTTATATGCCCACATTAAAATGTGCACAGTGTTTATGGTCATGAGATGAAGAAGCCTTTTGATTTTCAACAATTTCCGATAATTATTGTCAGAGTTATGGCCCTTGATCTCTTTGAAAAATCTTATAGACACTCTAGATACTAAAGTTACTATCCGATTGACTTTAGATTTATACACAGTGTTTACGTTTATGAGACGAAAAAAACTATTAATTTTCAAAGATTTCCGATAATTACTGCCAGAGTTATAGCCCTTGATCACTTTGAAAAAACTTGTGGACACTCTAGAGGCTAAAGTTAATATCCGATTGACTTTAAATTTATACACAGTGTTTAAGGTAATGAGACAATGAAGCCCATTAATTTTCAACTATTTCCGATAATTACTGTCAGAGTTATGTCCCTTGATCACATGAGACGAAGAATCCTATTGATTTTGTGAAGCTCTAGAGACTAAAGATACACAGTGTTTTTAAAAGGTCATAGGGCAAAGAAGCCTATTGATTTTCAACGATTTCCCGATATTTATGGCCGTTAATCACTTCGAAATATCTTGTAGATGCTCTGGAGGGAAAAGTTAATATCCGATTAACTTTAAATTTATACACAGTGTTTAAGGTCGTGAGATGAAGGATCCTAGTCATTTTCAAAGAATTCAAATAATTACTGTCCGAGTTATGGCCCTTGATCACTTTGAAATGTCTTGTTGTGGACACTCTAGAGGCTAAAGTTGATATCCGATTGACTTTAAATTTATACACTGTGTTTAAGGTAATAAGACAATGAAGCCCATTGATTTTCAACTATTTCAGATAATTACTGCCAGAGTTATGTCCCTTGATCACTTTGAAAAATTTTGTGGATGCTCTAGAGGCTAAAGTTAATATAAATTGTTCAAGGTCATGAGACAAACAATCGAAACAAATTCTAATGGGTTATTACATTTAAATCACAGCTAAAGACGTTCCTGTTTACAGAAGCGTTTCCGTAGTTCAATAGAGAAAACTTGAAAAGCGCAATAGAAAATTTAGTTTTAGTATTATCACGCTATATAAATAGAGGATTATTATTATTATTATTATTAATAAGATTTTCATGTGTTGTAAACGTTTTCCTTACTGAGCTGTTGTGGGCGTATTTTTTCATGGACTGACAACCTATCTTTTTTTTGATGAAACTTGAAATATACTTGTATGTTTATAACCCAACGATCTCGATTCATATTTGCGAAAATCAAACTGTAACTTCCTAAATTATGGCCCCTAATTGAACGAAACATCAAGTTTTTAGCGTGTTGTCCCACTAAAGTTCAGAATTTTTATCCGATTTAAAAAATAACATTCAAATATATCACTGTTACACCGTAATGACGGTTAAGTTCATCAAAATGGCCGCTCCCTGTTCGCAAATAGTTTTAAGTATGTAATATCAAGGTTTTGGACTATCTAGAGGTCACAATTTTTTATCCAATATTGATGAAACTTAAAAAATGTGTTAATATCTCAAAGATCTCTGTTCCTTTTGATATTCGCGCATAACTTCCTAGATTATGGCCCCTAATTGTACAAAAAAATGAGATTTTGGCTAGTGGACCCTCTAGAGGTCACAATTTTTTATTCGATTTTAAAAACCGTTTAAATAAATCACCATTACACCATAATGAAGACCGAGTTCAAATTTCGGGAAAATTGAAACGAAACTGCCGGTCAAAATGCCCGCTTCTTGTACGCAATTTTGTAAAAGTATGTAATACGAGGGTTGTGGGCCCGCCTAGAGGCCACAATTTTTGTTTGATTTTGATGAAACTAAGAATATATCTTTATATGCCAAAGATCTTTGTCCCTTTTCATATTTGAGCATTTCAGACCATAAATTCCTGGATTATGGTCCTTGATTGTACGAAAAATCACGTTCTTTTTTTTTAGCTTGTCCTCTATCCATCTCTTGCAAAATGTGGGCGTTTCATTGGTGATAAAAGAAAAAATATGTGACGAGCCTTGTAGACTGCTCGGACAACTTAGCTGCTGTGGGCGTATGTTTCGTTGCCTGGCAGCCTATCTTTATCCGATTTTAAATTTTTTTTTAAATATATCAGTTACACCGTAATGAAGGTTGAGATTGAAATTCCGGTAAATTGAAACGAAACTGCCCAACAAAATGGACGTTCATTGTACGCAAATATAGTAAAAGTAAGTAATACGAAGGTTGTGGACCCTCTAGATGTCACATTTTTTGTGCGATTTTGATTAAACTCAAAATATATGTTTATAAATTATATCCCAAAGATCTTAGTTTCTTTTGATATTCGCACATTTCAGACTGTAAATAACTGGATTATGGTCCTTGATTGTACAAAAAAATCACGTTTTCTAGCTTGTGGAATCTCAGCAGGTCACAATTTTTATCTGATTTAAAAAAAAAATTTTTATAAATATATCAGCCTTATGATGGTTGAGTTTGAATTTCGTGAAAATCGGACTGAAACTACCCAATAAAATGGCTGCTAATTGTACGCAAATTGTGTAAAAGTATATAAAACCAAAGTTGTGGACACTCTAGAAGTCACAAGTTTAATCTGATAATGATGAAACTTAAAATATATGTTTATATGTTTAGCTGCTGTGGGCACATGTTTTTTTTGTCTTACCTATTTATTTAAAATTATAAATTAGAAGTCTTAGCCCTTCATACTGCAAAATGTTCTTGTTCTTAGGCTTTGTTCCTGTTTGCTCACTATACACTTTATTATTATTTTTTTTTTTTTAGCCATTTCCAGGGTGGCTCAGTGAGTAGAACGTTGGCTCACTAACCTGGAGGTGCCGTGTTCAATTCTTTCATTGACCGAGAAAGTTCATCAGGATTTTCTGGCGTGATTCCCCCTTGTTAGTGGTGTAGGACAGAGGTGCGGGGGGTCAAGTGACAACATACTGTCAGTTGGATCGGATGAAAAACTGGAGTCACGTGAACACATCAGGATGCATAAGTAAAAGAACCCAAGTTGACAGTCAGAATTCGAAATAAGAGTAGGCCGTAGTGCCGCTGTCCAGACAAAATCTCCCTCATAGCTCACTGTATGGCGTATGCTCGTCTTCATTAACCCAGGTGGAGCAGAACAGTAGGACATTCAATTTCAATTCTTTATTTCTTTAAGTCTACTGACTCATCAGATAACATTATATACACAAACATTGTAGTTACATACAATAAATACATGACAAGTAAATACAAACATTATAATTACATGTATACACACGAACACAATATATACATGGCAAGTAAAGACAAAATGTATGGGGGTGGAGTGTAAATAAATTGTATTAAATTTCATTCCGAGATTCTATCCGGATTATCGCCCTTATTGTTACTACAGTTGTTTGACGTTCTAATTCTAACTCTGGACGTCAACTGGCAGATTATCGCCATTCAAGAGACAATCACAGTTTTCATTTTGAGTGAAGCTATATATTTTTTAAAGGCCTGGGACTGTACAGCGCAGTGGACACTTAAGGCTGGCCCCCGGATTCATTCACTGGATTTGATATTTGTTGTTTATTTCTTGCAATATCTATATAGTTTGTTTTTTCCACAAGTGTATCTTGTCTGTTTAGTGTTGTATTGTAGTTCAGTCCTCCTGCACTTGCTATTTTGGTATTTTGTAATACCTTTATATTTTTTTTTCATTTTCAGGTGACCACAGATGAGGATGATCCAGAAATAACCAAAACAACAACTGTTTTAAGAGAAAGAAGAGAAGTTGAAATGGTGGAAAATCATAAAACATTAATATCATCAATTAAAGGTGGAGAGTCTGAAGAACCTAATTTTGTAGTCAAAATGTGGAATTATGCAGATACCGCTGTTCTTATTCTCTTTATATGTATCAGTGTCTTTCTCTTAAGTTTTGTTCTTGAGAAATATATTGAGTAAGTAGTTTGATATCTTCGTTCTGAATTATGGAAATCTGTTTAGAACTGCTATTTAGTCATTTTTGTCATTGGTAAGTCACTTGTCACAGCAACAGTGTAAGTTATCCCGAATCAAGGGCAAAATCAACACAAGACCACTGTTTTATTTTCTTGTCAGATTTTGTTGTGTCTTTTTCTGTCAATTTTTATACGCCCACATAGAAATGTGGACGTATATTGCCGTCGTCCAGAATTTCTTGTGAACGCTCTAACGCCAAAAGTTATCATCCAATTGTTTTAAAATTGATATATGTTGTTTACATTAGTGAGACGAAGAATCCTATTTAATTTCAATAATTTCCGTTTATAACATCTAGAGCTATGGCCCTTGATTCACTTTGTTGAACCTTGTGAACGCTCTAATGCCAAAAGTTAACATCCGATTTTTGTGAAATTTATATTTAGATTAGGGAAACGAAGAAGCCTATTGAATTTCAGCAATTTCCGTTTATTACTTCTAGAATTATGGCCCTTGTTTCACTTTGTTTAACCTTGTGAACGCTCTAACCCTAAAAGTTATCATCCTATCTTTCTGAAATTTAGATGCATTATTTGAATTAGTGAAATGAAGAAGCCTATTGAACAGCAATTTCTGTGTATTATGTCTAGAGTTATGGCCCTTGTTTCACTTTATTGAACCTTATGAACACTCTAACGCCAAACGTTATCATTTGATCTTTCTGAAATTTGTATGTATTATTTAAAGTAGTGAAACGAAGAACCTTATTGAATTTCAGCAATTTCTGTTTATTACGTCTAGAGTTATGGCCCTTGTTTTACTTTATTGAACTTTGTGAATGCTCTAACATCAAAAGTTATCTGTTGATCTGTATGAAATTTACATGCGTCATTTAAGTTAGTAAAGAGAAGAATCCTATTGAATTTCAGCAATTTCCGTTTATTACTTCTAGAGCTATTGCCCTTGTTTCACTTTGTTCAACCTTGTTAATGCTCGATTGATGAAAGTTATCATCCGATATGTATGAAATTTATATGCATCATTTAAATTTGTGAAACGAAAAAGCCTGTCAAATTTTAACAATTTTTGTAGATTACTTCCAGAGTTGAGACCCTTGTTTTAATTTGTAGAACCTTGTGAACCCTCAAACGGCAAAAATTATAATCTGATCTGTATGGAACTGTCTTGTAAAGGCCCCTAATTACCTACAAAGGAATAAATATGCGACAACCCTTGTCGACCGCTCGGACGATTTAGCCGCTGTGGGCGTATGTTTCGTTGCCTGGCAACCTATCTTTATTCAAGTTTGTAAAAAATTTGTTTTCTTTTTTAGCCCTCGTATGATCTGGAAAGCTGTAATTAATTCTTATAAATCGTCCATAGCTTATATCATATCATCATGGGGGACTATCTGTACCATGGCTGGCAGAGCTTGGAATACGACTTCTGCAACCCTCAAAACCAACTGGAAAAATCTGTCTGGCAAATGAAGCATATGTGACTTTTGGCCTGGATCAGTATACTATATAACAGACCTTTTGCAATGTAGATGGCAGCAGCACTGAGCAGCAGTATTTTATAGAAGTATCAGGGTGCTTTGTTGTTTTGTTATTTAGGCAAAAAAATACAGACATTGTTTTTAGTGCTTGGTATTTTTTAGATTTAGTTGCAATTTTTATCAGTATTTGGACCATTTTTTTTTCCTTCATTCAATTTTAATCATTTTTTTTTTAAACTAAAGATTTATTCTTGTTATTGTTTTTTTACAAAGATTTGGGATGCTCAAGTTTAAATCAAAATTCAGAGTTTTGTTTTGATCAAATCAATAATTCCTTCCTTGTAATACAAATAGCCATTCCCATGGTGTGTTACTGACATTAAGAATTTTTTGTTTTTATTACTGTACATGCCTACATTGTATTAGAACACTTTATTCATTCATCAGTTCATTTATTTGTTCAGTTATTTATGCATTCATTAGTTCAGTTTTATCAGTATTATGACTAAATTTTTTAATTCATAAAATATCATTGAATTGAAAGTGTGCACATTTTATAATACATCTTTTGGGTTTTGTTTACACTTAATCCACACTTATATTCCAAAATCATGTATAGCCAAATTTAATTCTATCTAACCTAAATAATGATGTATAGCCAAATCTAATTCAAAGCTAAATAATGATGTTTAGCCAAATCTATATCTAACCTAAATAATGATGTGTACTAACCCAAATAATGATGTGTAGCCAAATCTAATTCTAACCCAAATAATACTGTAAGCTTACAGCCAAATGTAATTCTAACCCACAAAATTGTTGCTGTTGTTAAAATTACATTTTTGATATGGATAGCAAAGTAAAAATATATCAGTTAATTCAGTTATAATTAATAACAGTAAAAAAGAAATCTGTTTAAATTCGTCCACAAGTATAGCTAACTAATTTTGAATTGTATTTAAATACACCACATACTAGAACTTGTGAATTAAATTCCCATTTTTCTGGTAAATTGTATATTTGGAATTGGTTTTATGTTTGGTGTATATTATTATGGTTACATTAAATTAACATAGACATTCCAAAAGTAATTACTGTTTTTATACCTATCAATATTGGTAAAAGGATTGATCGGTGTATTAAAATCTTTATGTAATTAAACATTTATCTCCAAATACTTGTTTTGGTGGTCATGGTAGTAGCGATTTATTTTGTTGAATTCAGTTTTAAAACTAGAAGACAGACTCGTAACACACGAACATTCTAAGTAATAAGTAATAAAATTACTATTAAAGCAAGTGACTAGCCTGAAGTGATACAGGCTTGAAGTAAAATGAAAAGAAACTAAACAAAAAGGTAGGCAATCCACAAAATGCAAAATATGAAAAGTGGGCATTTCCAACACAATGTAAGTGCTTGAAAAATATACAACAATTTGGGAATGAAAGCATCAAATACAAGGTCGAGTCATAGGTCCTTTTACAAAAAACAAAGACTATAAAATATTTACAAGATGCTACCAGTCCTGAAAGTGGTTGTCTGTTGAATGGCGTCATTATCAAAACATTACCTATAATAATAAGGGTGATCACCAGACCAGAATTTCAAATCATTAGTTATTTTTTGTGATGATTAGGATACTGGACCATTGTAATGGTATCAATACTGACAACGAAAGGGGGGGGGGGAAACATTTCATATTTGAGTTTTGGTATTCTGGTTAATTCTGAAAAAAAAATTGGTCAATAGTTAGTGTTTTGTATTTACTTTATTGGTCATTTTCATATTTTATAAATATTAATCTTTATTGTCCCCCGCAGGGGACTATTAAAATGGGTTCGTACGTCTGTCTGTCTGTCCGTCTGTTTTCTTCTAATTGAGCTAGAATGTTCCAACTTGGTGTAGGTAGTTCGAAGATGAACATTTTCTGCTTAGGGTAAGCAGACTTAGCAGAGATATTTAATTTGATTGGTTGATGATTTGGGACACGATAACTTTAGTTCTAATTAAGTGAGGAGAGTGAATAAATTTGGTGTATAGTTTCCTTACATTCATACATTGACTAAGTTCGATAATGAGCACTTTCTGCTCAGTGTATGCAGAGCGATAGGCAATTTGATTGGTCAAGACTTTGGAACACAATAACTCTCCTTCGAATTGTGGTAGAATGTTCAAACTTGGAGTAGGGGTTAATTGGGTGAATGCCTTGATGGAGTTAAAAGATGAATATTTTCTGCTTAGGGTAAGCAGAGACAAGCAATTTGATTGGTTGATGCTTTGGGACACGATAACTTTGGTTCTAATTGACTGATGAAATTTGGTGTATAGTTTCATCATATCAATACCTTGAAAAAGTTTGATTATGAGAGCATTTTCGGCTCAGGGTAAGCAAAGCGATAAGCAATTTGATTGGTCAAGACTTTGGAGCTTGACAACTTTGATTCTAATTGAGTGATAGTGGTGAAACTTCGGGTATAGTTTTATTACATCGATACCTTAACAAGCGTTGATGCTGAGCATTTTCTGCTAAGGCAAAGTGGAGACTTCCATCTGATTGGTCGCGACTTTGGAACACAATAACTCTCCTTATAATTGAGGTAGAATGTTCAAAATTGGTGTAGGTGTCTATTACGTGAATGCCTTGACATAGCTCGTTCATGCGCCTTTTCCACTAAGGCTAAGCAGAGATGAGCAATTTGTTTGGTTGAGACTTTGGAACACGATAACTTTAGTTCTAATTGGGTGAGAGGGATGAAACTGAATAGATTCATTATATCAATACATTGACTAAGTTCAATGATGAAGATTTTCTGCTAAGGCTAATTAACGATAAGCAGTTTGATTGGTCATGACTTTGGAACATAAAAATTCTGTTGAGGTATAGATGTTCATTAGGCGAATGTCTTGACTGAGTTCAATGATTAATATTTCCCATTAAACCTAAGCAGAGCTAAACAATTTCTTTGGTCTATGCTTTGGGACAAGATAACTTTGATTGTAACTGATGGAGAGTGATGAAACTTAGTGTATAGTTTCACTCACACTACCAGGTACTTCAAAACCTGAGTTTGATAGTGAATAGTCGGAGCAAAACAGTAGGACGTTACACTCCATTTCATTTGATAGTGAACATTTTATGCTTAGAGTTAGACTAAGCATAGATAATCAGTTTGATTACTCAATACTATGGAAAAAGATAAATGTGCAATTATTTAAAAACACAACACAGTTTATATGGAAATACAATCACTGGTTTATAAGTATAGCACGACGTTTCGACAAGTATTCTCTTATCGTTATCAAGCACAAATGATATTTAGTTAAACTAAAAGGTGATATTTATAGTAAAACAAATGGGAAACAACTACCAACCAACCCAAGTCAACCAAAAGGAGTAGTATACAAAGTAGACTGCTTTTGCGGCAAGGCATACATAGGTGAAACGAAAAGACCACTTGACAAACGTATATCAGAACATAAGTCTAGAGCCAAAACTAATGTATCCGCAATAGCAGAACATATAAGCAAGAACCAGGGCCACGAACCAGACTGGAAGAATGTCCAAACTTTAGCCATACATAAACACCAAAAGAAAAACAGGAAAATCATAGAAGCCATCCAAATCAAACGCCACAGCCCAGAACTGAATAGAGACACAGGGTTATATATACCAAAGGCCTATGATGAACTAATTAAGATGGAGAAATAATTGTCTATTGGCCCATAGTTTTCCTATTTGTTTCTTTTGGACATTTCTAGTTATTATATAACCTAATTTTAATCACATTGTTTTCTTCTTTTGTTGTTCCTTTTTGGCCATTTCTACATATTATAAAACCTAACTTCAATCATACTGCTCCCCCCCCCTCTCCCCCTTAATTAGCTTAGAGAAGTATAATACCTGTTATATAAACCATATTTTGTAATTACCAAATTAAGGGGTTATACTGTATACATCCATTATTATACATTTCTTACTTATAGGGCTTCTAATTGTTTATTTTGTCTATATCAAATTTATGGCTTTGTTGCTCCCTGACTATTGTTAACCACTGATTATTGTTAACCCCTATCAATTACTAATATTTAAGTTTTAATTATCCTTTGATCAATTTATACATTATTATAAATTTCTTATTAATAGGGCTTCAAATTGTGTTTATTTTGTCTATATCAAATATATGGCTTTGTTGCTCCCTGGTCACTGTTAACCCCCATCAATTAACTATATTTAAGTTTTAATTATCCTTTGATCAATTGAACTATTATCTTGTATTATAACAGTATTTATCTATGGCTTCTTTTTTGTTTTACTATAAATATCACCTTTTAGTTTAACTAAATATCATTTGTGCTTGATAACGATAAGAGAATACTTGTCGAAACGTCTTGTCGAAACGTCGTGCTATACTTATAAACCAGTGATTGTATTTCCATATAAACTGTGTTGTGTTTTTAATGTGTTCAATTGCTAAATGCCACTCAAGGATTATGCAATTATTTAATGTGTCATCTGGTTTCTTTTTGGATTTTGGCAGGGGACATCAGCCTCACTGTTGGCTTGTTTGAAATTAATTTTATCCTAGTAGTATTATATACTGCCAAGCTTTATGATGCATAATTAATTCATTCTATAGAATGTCCATAAAATATTTGAAGTAGGAATTTTATTACTGTTATAAAAGAATCATGTTTTAGCAATTTATTTTTTTCACAATGAATTTCTTTGTGTAATCAAATATCTACAAAAAACTTTTATGCAATGATCATTTCTTAGTAAAATATCTGATGAAAAAAGATAAATGCATGTCTTTATATAGTCAACACATCATTTTCATAGAAAAATATTTTGATATTAAAAGTGTATTTTTCACATGACTCTTTGTTATTTAATTTAAAAAATCTGAAATGTGGTGTGAACATGCAACAGACGATCATCTGATCTTTTTGAAATTCACAAATGTTTTGAGTTTCAACGATGTTTGATAACTTCTGGAGTAATTTCCCTTGTTTTGTTCAGTCAAGTGAATACTCTCAGATTTCAGTAATTTTCATTAATTACTTCTAAACTTATGGCCCTTGTTCAGTGTATAGAATCTTTTGAAAACAATTGTTAAACAATCCTCTTGAATTTAAACAATTTCTGTTATGGCCAGTGCTAAATTTGTGAACACTTTAAAATCAAAAGTCATCATTTGATTATCAAAATTTATATTTTTTTTTAACCTAAATTGGACGAAAATGGGTCAAAAATGACATAATGTGATATTCATGTGGACATATATTGTCGTCGCCCCTGTCCGTCCGTCCGTCCGTCCACAATTTGTTTGTGGACACTCTACAGGTCACAATTCTTATCCGATTTTGACGAAACTTGAAATATAGGTTTATCTCCAAAAGATCTCGGTTCCTTTCGATATTGGCATGTATTGGCATGTATTGGATCGAAACTTCATGGATTATGGCCCCTGTTTGTACGAAAAATCATGTTTTTAGCTTGTGCACACTATAGAGGTCACAATTTTTATCCGATTTTGTTGAAACTTGAAATCTAAGTTGATAATCCAAAGATCTCGGTTCCTTTCGATATTCGTGCATATCGGAACGTAACTTCCTGAATTATGGCCCCTATAGAGGTCATAATTTTTATCCGATTTAAAAAACCATATTATTATATCACCGTTACACCCTTAGGATGGCTGAGTTCGAATTTCGTGAAAATCGGCCCGAAATTGACAGACAAAATGGCTGCCGTTCGTTCTCAAATAGCGTAAAAATATGGTATATCAAGGTTGTGGACCCTACAGAGGTCACAATTTTGTTGAAACTTGAAATGTAAGTTTATAACCCAAAGATCTCGGTTCCTTTCGATATTCGCCCATATCGGACCGTAACTTCCTGAATTATGGCCCCTGATTGTACGAAAAATCGCGTTTTTAGCTTGTGGACCCTATAGAAGTCAAAATTTTTATCCGATTTAAAAAAACATATTATTATATCACCGTTACACCATAAGGACGACTGAGTTCGAATTTTGTGAAAATCGGACCAAAAATGACAGACAAAATGGATGCCCTTCGTTCTGAAATAGCGTAAAAATATGGTATATCAAGGTTGTGGACCCTATAGAGGTCACAATTTTTATCCAATTTTGTTGAAACTTGAAATGTAACCCAAAGATTTCGGTTCCTTTCGATATTTGCGCATATCAAATTGTAATTTCCTGAATTATGGCCCTTGATTGTAGGAAAAATCACTTTCTTTTTAGCTTGTTCTCTATCCATCTCTCGAAAATGTGGGCGTATTCTGCCTGGCAGCTGCTGGTTATACACCCTCGTTGAAATGAGGTTGTATATTGTTGTTGCTCATGGGTCATTCCATGCCAAGTGGACCAGTGCTTGTCAGGTGACCCCTTCAGAATATTATGAAAAGATATGTTCTAAAACTGCAAAGTTATATGACTAGCATTAATATTGGCCTTTTGAATCGGGGTACCCATTCGCAAGTTGTGAAACTACTATTTTATACGCCCTTTAAAATAATATCCTCCTTGCAATAAGGGTGGTTGTGTGTCTGAATGGCCTAATGTGTGTGTTTTAGATCAAGAGCAGGGCCGGCGGAAGCAATTCTTGATTTGGGGTGGGGGGGCTTCCATCCTAGGTCCTTATAGGCGTGGGTCCAGGGGCCACAATAACCTGGAGAAAAGAGTACTTTCGGCCAAATTATTGGGGGGGGGCCTGAAGAATGGGTTCGTCCGTCTGTCTGTCTGTCCGTCACACTTTTTGGGACACAATAACTCTCCTTCTAATTAACCTAGAATGTTCAAACTTGGTGTAGGTGTTTATTAGGTCAATGCCTTGATGGAGTTCGAAGGTGAGCATTTTCTGCTTAGGGTAAGCAGATATATGCAATTTGATTGGTTGATGCTTTGGGACACGATAACTTTAGTTCTAATTAAGTGAGAGTGATGAAACTTGGTGTATAGTTTCATTACATCAATACCTTGACTAAGTTCGATGATGAGAATTGTCTGCTTAGGCTAAGGAGCAATAAGCATTTTGATTGGTCAAGACTTTCGAACATAACAACTCTGCTTCTAATTGAGGTAGAATGTTTAAACTTGATGTAGATGTTCGTCTTGATGTTCGTCAGTTCGAGTTCACTGATCAACATGTCGAACTAAAGCTAAGCAGAGATAAGCAATTTCCTTGGTCGATGCTTTGGGACAAGATAACTTTGATTCTATCTGATAGAGAGTGATGAAACTTAGTGTATAGTTGATAATCAGTTTGATTGCTCGATACTTTTGAAAAAAATAGATGTGCGATTAATTAATATGTGTCATCTATTTATTTGGGGATTTCGGCGGGGGACATCAGCCTCACTGTTGGCTTGTTAAATGTAAAATCCCTCGGGGGTTACGACTGTAAATAAGATGCCAGCTAACTAACTATGAGATCTACAGTTTGATCCTGGTGTTGGCTGAGAAAGTTCCTTGGGATTATCCAGCCTGGATTTTTTCTTGTAAGTGGTGAAGAACAGTTAAGACCTGGCATGGAACAACGTCTAGTCATTCAGGTGTGGGCGATAAATAGAGATACCACATACATATTGGCGTAAACTTAAAAAAAAAACCCATGTCACTTCCTGCGGCAGCTCTGAAAACCTGTTGCACTTGCTCGCTTTGTAGAATCTTGTCAACGCCTTAAAAGGTCCGAAGTCAGATTATCTACTTTGTTTCGATTATTGCAATGATTCACGATAAAAAGGTTGATGCTGACCTTAACAAAGTTCGATGCTGAGCATTTTCTGCTTAGGCAAAGTAGTGACGTCAATCTGATTGGTCGAGACTTTGGAACACAATAACTCTCCTAATTGAGGTAGAATGTTCAAATTGGTGTAGGTGCCTATTAGGTGAATGAATGCCTGGACAGAATTTGATCATGCGCGTTTTACACTAAGGCTAAGTAGAGATAAACAATTTGATTGGTTGAGACTTTGGAACACGATAACTTTGGTTCTAATTAGGTGAGAGCGATGAAACCCTGAGTATAGATTCATTATATCAATAGCCTACCTTGACTAAGTTTGATAATGAGCATTTTCAGCTCAGGGTAAGCAGAGCCACGAGCAATTTGATTGGTCGAGACTTTAGAGCTTGACAACTTAGATTCTAATTGAGTGATAGTGGTGAAAATTTGTGTATAGTTTCACTACATCAATACTTGAACAAAGTTCGATGCTGACCTTAACAAAGTTCGATGCTGAGCATTTTCTGCTTAGGCAAAGTAGTGACGTCAATCTGATTGGTCAAGACTTTGGAACACTAACTCTCCTAATTGAGGTAGAATGGTCAAATTTGGGTAGGTGTCTATTAGGAGAATGCCTTGACAGAATTCGATCATGCACATTTTACACTAAGGCTAAGTAGAGATAAACAATTTGATTGGTTGAGACTTTTGAATACGATAACTTTGGTTCTAATTAGGTGAGAGCGATGAAACCCTGAGTATAGATTCATTATATCAATAGTCTACCTTGACTAAGTTTGATGATTAAAATTGTCCGATTAGGCTAAGTAGCGATAAGCAATTTGATTGGTCAAGACTTTGGAACATAACAACTCTGGTATTGAGGTATAGATGTTCATTAAGTGAATGTCTTGACTGGGTTCAATGATTAACATTTCCCGCTAAAGCTAAGCAGAGCTAGCAATTTCATTGGTCGATGTTTTGGGACAAGATAACTTTGATTCTAACTGATGAAGAGTGATGAAACTTAGTGTAGTGAACATTTTCTGCTTAGACTAAGCATAGATAATCAGTTTGATTGCTCATACTTTTGAAAAAGATAAATGTGCAATTAATTAATATGTGTCATCTATTTATTTCGGGATTTCGGCGGGGAACATCAGCCTCGCGCCCATGATTTAGCTATATCAATCTTTCTCATTGTAGCACTTTGCTATAGAGTGCTTTTCAACAACTCCAATTATTATTATCGGTACTTTGATATGGTGTTGTATTTGTTAATATTATTTACATGTGCATAAGTATTTGCTTTACGTAGCCTTTAACGCTTGCATGTCTCGACACATTTTGTATAGAAGTGTCAAACGGTGCCGGCTATATATCTATATATATACTTTGCATTTTTATCTCGGACTATTATACTCTTATTGGCACGTTGCTGGTAAATCATGTCTTACTGCGAGGGATTTACATCCAGAACTATTTTATTCATACCCCCTCTACAAACTATAAAGGTATAGTTGTGATTAGTTAGCTGCACGGTTCGCTATGTTTATTCATGTAGACAGGTCAAGTAGCCATGGGCAACCAAACTACATCGCAATCTTTTATTGCCTTCCAGGTGAAGCGACTTAACTGTATTCGCAAGGTTTATCTATAGTTCCGATGGGCTTAAAACCACTTAGTCATGACATTTATTAGCCATTTAGTTTTTCGCGTGTTGTTATGATTCCTGTCAAGGAATTATATAGTTCTGTATATTACTTAACATTGTGCATATTAGAGAACTATATAGTTCTACATGAATTATATTAGGCCTTCGCCACAAACTTAAATAATACACAATATACCCACGATAATAATTGATAGTTCTTGGATTGGGAGTAAAGATTATTTAAAAGTTACAGACCAATGTCTTCTTATTTTGGACCAAATTTCGTTTTTTTTTATTTTTGTTGTATGAGAGATAATATACTTCGTACTTCGATAATTTTTCAAAAGGTAATTGTATCCCTCAAAGTGTGGAACAAGATCAGAATAATTGTAGATTCGTGGGATAGATGCGTAAATCAATCTATTCTATAAATTATATATATAGCCTCTAAATTAAATGTGTTCTCAT